CCATCTATCCATTTATCCACTAATTTCTTTATTCATCTATCTATCCATCCATCCATCCATCCACCCCTCCATTACTTCGACTGTTCATCGTTTCGTTCATTGATTCATCTTTCATTGATTACCTATCTCTTCATCCATTTCACCCACCAATAAATAGTTCCCTCACCCATCCACCCATCTACCCATCCATCAAATCATCACCCATTCTTCCACCCATTAAATTCCCCCATCCACTCATTCCATTTCCTGTCCCAGAACCAAGAGATGAATCACAGCTGGTCTCTCCCTTGAAAAGCTCCCAGTCTACTGATGGGAACAGACTCAAGGTGGAAAATCTTAAGAGGTCAAAGGGAGCCCTAGGTAGGTGCCCTCATGAGGAGGAACTCAGGTCCATTTGGGATTCAAAAGTCTCCTTGGAGGAGGTGGCATCCAAACAAAGATTCATAAAGACAGGAAAACAGTGGACAGGAAAACAGTGAGATATCTCTTAGATATCTCAAAGGGTGACTCAGAACACCTATCTACGTAGATGTTCACTGAACTTAACACATTACATTAAAGACTCTGATAAGTCCTGTAGCAAACATTAACATTGTTAAACTCCATAATTCTTAAACTCATTGGACCGTGGAACCCTTTCCCCACATCACTCCAATTAATTTCTCAGAGAATCTGTGTCGTTCAGAACCCCAGGTGAGAACTCCTTGTTTTCACAAACAAGAAAACAAAATTCCACAAAACAGTCTCTGCCTTCAAAAATTGTTTCATCTGTGTGTAAGATGCAACACACAATATGTGCCCAGGACTCTTTTTTAAATTTGATTTTATTTATTTTTTTAAGTTTATTTATTTATTTTTGAGAGAGAGAGAGAGAGGAAGGGAGAGAGAGAGAGTGAGCGAGTGAGTGTGGAGGAAAGGGGCAGAGAGAAAGGAAGAGAGAAAGAATCCCAAGCAGGCTCTGTGTGTCAGTGCAGAGCCCAACATGGGGCTTGATCTCACGACCCTGGGATCTTGACCTGAGCTGGAATCAGGAGTCGGACCCTTAACCAACTAAGCCACCCAGGCACCCCCTCAGGACTCCTTTTTTAATCCCCAGAGCTGAGCACGGCATCTGGCACACAGTAGGTGTTCAATAAGCATTTGTCAAAAGAATGTTGTTGTTGAAGCAGTCACTCCAAAATGACTGCTGGTTAAAATAAATAAACTAATTTAATTAAAAAAATTTTTTAAACAATTTGAAAATAAAATTAATCAATTTTTTAATCAAAACATAAATTAAATTTAAAAAAATTTTAAATGACCCCTGGTTCTTAAGCTCTTCCTATTCCCCAGTGAGCCCCCTGTAACCTCAGCCAACTCCACAGCCCCCAGCCTCAGTTTTTCCGTCCCGGAATGGGCACTAAGCTCACGCTGGCAGGCCTGATGCGGGAAGCACGCGCATACACTGGGCTTGTGCCGCGGGCTCTGTCCCTGGTGTAGCTCCATCCAGCCTGCCACTCTCTCGCCCCGGCTGGTTGAGTTTCCAGCCAACGATGGAGGAGAGACCTGGGGGCCTCTGGGTCTCGCCGAGCCTTTGCGGCCCAGGCTGGTACCTGGAAACCGCCTGAGTAATGGGGCATGAACTGGAAATTCCCTATAATATTCGCTAATTAAATGATTCCTCCCTCCTCCTCCTCCTTTGGCCACGGCCTCCCGCTCTCCCTTACTCAGCTCTCCAAGCACCTCCAGAAACCTCTGCGAAGGAGTCCAACTGGTTTGGGGAGGACTGGGTGGCACTTCCCCCTTCCCGCCACCCACTTGCCCGCCCACTGCCACTGCCCCAGCCCAAGACGTGCGGCCTGCTGGGAGGTGTGGGTTGTGCAGTTCTAGAACACCGGGCCGGATGCCCGCGCCAGATAAAGGGGCCACTAAGTGCCTCCTCAGCCCAAGCCCAGCCCTTGTGCAATCCACATCTTTGTTCCACAGAGACAGCCACAGGGATGAGCGGATGTGCTTATCTGATGGGGCCACGAAGCCTCCAGCTCATTCCAGGGGCTGTTTTGATAGTCTCCGGGCTCCTCTCTGCCGTGCAACCACGCATGCCCTTTCCTCACGTGGGCACATCCTCACCCTCCTTCCAGCTCGTCATCAGCATTTAGTAGGCATTTCCTCTGTGCCCAGCCCTGTGCTAGGTGCTGGGGACGTAGAGATAAGCGAGAGCGAGTCCTCGCCCAGTGGATCTCACAGCCTGACGGGGAGCGGGGCAGACACCTAAAAAAATGATGGTCGCAACAACATGGATGAATCTCATCATCATTACGCTGAGGGAAAGAAGCCCAACAAAGGTTAAATATGCTCCATGATTCCATTTACAGAAAATTCTAGAGAACACAGCAACAGAAGAAACCCACTGCAGTTGCCTGGCGATGGGAGAGGGGAGGTGGGGGGGCAGGAGGAATGAATGACAAAAGGACACAAGGAAGCCTGTGGAGGTGATGTGTCCGTTCACCAGCGGCTTCATGAGTACAAATGTGTGTCAAAACACGTCAAACTGCACACTAAGATATGTGCCAATTACTGTATGTCTGTTATACCTCAGTAACGCTGTGAAGAAAAAAGAAAGATAATTCTGAGGCGGAGTGATCAGCGAAGCAATGGGGAAACTCAGGAAAGGCATGGGAGAAGGACTCAGAAGGGAATCAGGGAAGACTTCCCGGAGAAGGAGACTATTGAGCAAAATTCTGAAGATGAAAATGAGTTACAAGGAAAGAAGAAAAGAGAATGGCGTTAACTTCCAGATGGCCTGAGTTCAAGTCCTGACTCCTCTGCTTTCAGGCTGTGTGGCTTTGGACAAGACCCTGCGCCTCTCTGAGACTCAGCTTCCTCATCTGTAAAATGGACCCCACAATGCGCTGATCAGGGGGCCCTAAGTGATCGAAAGCACTCGGCCTGGTATCCAATTGTCACAGCATCTAACTTCAAGAAGGGGCAGTGATCTGAACAACATCCAGGGAGTCAGAGTGGCTTCATCAGAGAGAGGGAGGGAGAGGCTTCAGGGGCCAGGGTTGCAGGATGTCTGGGCCATGGTGAGGGCTGGAGCGGTCTCCAGAGGTCCAGGATGTCAAGGAAGAACTGGAAGCAGGGGAGTTTCGTCATCAAGGCTGTTCTTTTATCAAGGTCACTTTAATTATTTGTATGAATGAATGAATGAAACCGAGACTTCAATCAATGGGGAACCGAGACTTCAACAGAGAAGGACTGGGCCAAGATCCTGTGGAATCACAGAGCTTGAATGGAAGTGATCTCTCATTCATCCAAACCTCTCTTCAACCCTGTAAGCAGATCAAGGACTGCTCTCTGGGTTTGCTTGCATGCCTCCAGTGACAGGAGACTCACTATCTAAACTGTCGGGCAGTTCTGTCTGTAAGGCCCAACTAAGAGGCCTCTTGAATTGGCCCCAGCTCTTCCCTGTGGCCCTGCCCAGACACCCTGGCCAGCGTCACACTGAGAGGAGCCCAGTGGACAGGGGAGGAAGTGGAGGGAGATATGAGCTATGACAGAGGCGTCCTAGGTGCCTTCAGCAGCTCCCTGCCACAAGACCCTGGGCCATACCCTCTCCTTCTCTGGGCTTCAGTTTCCCCATCTGGAGATTCTCACTGCTCCCCAGTCTCCTTCCAGCTCTTAGAAGTAGATTTGGCCCTGCCGAAGCACCTGGTGGGGGCTGGGGCGGGCACAGGGGTTCGTGAGTCCTGCCCATCCACTCCCATCTGGGGGCCGGGGTCGACCTCAGGGCAGGCGGGCCAGGCTCTGTCTGGGGATAAAGGCAGGCGCCTCAGGGCACAGCCAGCTTAATAACGGGCTGCTGGAGCCAGGGGGTTTGAACCCGGGAGAAGAGGTTCAAACACAAATTGAACAGCCCACGTTGCTGTCTGTGGGTCTGAAAGCTGACAGTTCCCACACCGAGCAGGCCTGGCTCCTACTCTCTTCAAACCCATTCGCCCCGGGGGTGCCCCATTTGTGTGTTTGCCATGTGCCAGGCTTCTCGTACCCAGAATAAGATCGACACTCCTGACCCTGGTCCATGAGTTCTGGCTCTGCCCACACTTGACCCTGCCTCCTGCCCCCTCTCTCATTCACTCCTCTCCCTAGGGCCCCCCTAATGCTCTGCAGACGTGCCAGGCTGGTGCTGCCTCAGGGCCTTTGCACTTGCTGTTCCTCCTGCCCAGAACTCTCTTCCTCCAGATCTTGCCATGGCTGCTCATCTTTTAGGCCTCAGCTCTAAGGTTACCTTCTCAGAGGGGTCCTTCCTGTGCCCCCCTCCCCCATCCCGTTGCTCTCTCTAGCCTCATGCTGCCTTATTTTCCTCCACAAAAGGCTTCACTGGGATGTCTTGCCCTCTGGTTTGGCATCTGTCTCTCTCTGGATTTGGAGCTTTACATGGCAGAGCCTACGACTGGCCCAGCACTGGGTCTGATGTCACCCGGAACAGCTTGGCGTTCGCCTACCTGTGTCAGTGTTGGAGATTTCGACCCACTCTGGGGCCGTTAATGCTGCATCTACACAGACCCTCTCACCTCCACGTAGAAGGGCTGGAGGGATGCCTAGACCAATTCACTGTGCCCCTGTTCGCACCTGCATGCACACACACACACACACACACACACACACACACACACACACACCATTACCCAGCACCCTCTACCCCGTCCTCCACATCAGCCCTTGGCACCCAAAGTTCTCAACTCTCCCTCCTTTCACCGGGCGCCAGCTGGCCCTATGCCAGCTCCTCTCCCCCAACCCGCCTGCCTGCCCTGGGCACCAGACTCATAAAGGATGAGGAAGGGCCTGGGGTGGGCTGGCTGGCTGCCATGTGAACGCAGCCCCTGGGGCCCTCACCTCCCCCTGTGCAGACCAGCCACACACCTGTGTAATGAGTGTCACGACTGGGGACCTGCCAGGCAGGCCCCGGCTGGCCCAGCCACCCAGGCTGCGAACGTGGCTGAGGACGGGGTGCAGGGAGCACGGGGGGCAGAGGGGTGGCAGGGACGTCTCTGCCCTTCCCGGCCCCAAGGCTCAGCCCTGGCTTTCTGGACCCACACAGATGGCCTCCCGCCTTCTCCACGGACTCCCACGCCTCAGGTCCCTGTCATAGTCCAAGCCGGTTCGCAAGGGGACGAGGGAGGAGGAACACTTCAGCACCTCCTATGTGCCCACTCGGCACTGAGAGCTGGCATTGTCCCTTCCCACATCAGACACCGTCTCGTCCACTCGCCTGCCGCCTGAGTATCGTCTGTCTCCCCCATTTGAGTACAAACACAGAGGACACTTACCGACTGGCCACTGTGCACCAGACTCCACGCTAAACACAACACAGGGATCGACTCTGGCTTCCTCGCGGCAACCCGGCCAGGCGGGTACCATAATGATTCCCTTTGACAGGTTAGGCTCAGAGAGGTAAAGTAACTCGCCCCAAGTCACACCGTGGGTAAGTGGTGGGCCAGGAGGCCCCTAGGCCCTCTGGCTCCAGGGTCACGCTCTTAACTACTTGTTCCTCCACACCACTTCTTCCCTCAGAGCCAGCAAGGGCTTTCGTCACTGCTTGTCCCCAGAACCAAGTCCACGGCCTGGCACATAGCCGGTGCTCCAAAAAGAGCGAGTGAACGAACAGGTGAGTGAAAGCACGAGCTCCCGGAGTTCTGACAATGCCTGTCCAGGAGGTATTTACCCATGAGGAAACCAAGGCTCGGAGAGGTGAGGTGACTTGCCCCGGGTCACAGTGAAGATGTCACAGAACTGAGATTTGAAGCTCGGGTGTCTTTTGTAAAACGCAAAGTGGGAGCTCAGTCCCCTCTGCCCTCCTGCCCCCTCGTGGCCCTGACCCCTCTCTAGGCTGCCCCCACCTCTGGACCACGGGGCCCAGGAGGGTGAACACGTGCCTGCCCGTCTCGGTGTCCGTAGGGTCCAGCCCGGGCCCGGCACACAGTAGGCCTTCAGAACGAAATTCCGGCTCCTCCCTCCTGCCTCCAACACCTCCCAGGATCGGGGTCTTCAGAACATCACCCCATCGCCTTTCTCCTCTCCTTACATGCTGTTCCCTCTACCAGGAACACTCTTCCAGCACTTCCATCCCACCCTCAGCTTAGAGGCCACCTCCTCTGCCGGGAAGCTCGAGGCACTTGGGGCTGCGGGGCCCCACTCTGCTGACCCGCGGGCCCTCCACTCCAGCCCATGTCCTTACTTCCCTCTCCTTAGGGGCAGTTGGCCCGCACTGGCTGTCCAGCCACCCTAGTTTCATCCCCACCCTGCCACTGACCTCCCGGGTGAACTCGGCCTGGGCCATCGTTAGCTCATCTGTCAGATGGGTAGAAAATTTGACTGTCACAGTCAGTGAAGGCTTGCTGTCCATCAACCGGGTCACATCAGTTCCTACTCAGATCCTGCCAGTGGCATTCGGCCCACAAATCCCTACATGATCTCAGCCCTGCTGACCTCTCCAGCATCATCTCCTGTCACCTGCCCCTCCCTCTGTCCTGTCCAGCCACCTGGCCTCCTGCGTTTCCTGGAGCATTCCAAGCCCACCCCAGGGCCCTTGCCCTTGAAGATCCCTTCCCTTGGGATTCATTCCCCCTCCTCCTTCAGATGTCGCTCCATGCTCCCTCCTCAGAGAAGCCCTCTCCGTGAGCGAGCAGACAGCAAGCCTTCACAGCTCACGGCTTCACAGCTTCCCGCAGCTCCACGGCAACCCCTGTTTATCTCCGTCTTGGCCTTCTCCCCGGTGCAAACTGTCTTATCTATTCGTGGGTTTGCTTGCTGATCTCCTGTGTCCTCCACCAGAATTGAGGCAGAGACCCCTTGTTCGCTGCTGTGTTCCCTGGAGTCTTGTATACAGTAGGTGCTCAAGCAACGGTTGTGACACGAAGGGAAGATCATCAAAGCGCTTCCCTTTCCCTGCCCACCCCACCCCTAGCCGGAAGTTCAGGGCCTGGGAACCAGGTGGCTCCCTCCGAGCCCCAGATCGCGTCTGGTTCCCAGCCTCATAAAAACCATCACTCTCACTTTGCCCCTGGGCAGCAGAGGGTGAAGGAGGCAGGCGTGGGGCCCAGAGGCTGACCCCAACGTGGCTTCAGAGACCGGGGCCAGGAGAAGGTGCAGACTGTGGCAGTGAGTGTTCATGGAGCGCTTTGTGTGGGTCCGGCAGCTGTTTGCACACCGCACACAGCACTCACGGCCAACTGTACAAGGTCAGGATCACCACCCCGATGCTCTGCCAGCGAGGAAACTGAGGCATCACGGGGCGCAGCAGCATGCCCCAGACCCGGCAGCCAGAGAAAGCCACAGTCAGGATCCGAACCCGGCTCTGCCGGCCACCAAAGCCCGCGTGTGCCCACCCACCCTGGTCAGCCCACGGATTCCGTGTGAGCTCCAACTATGTGCCAGGCGCTGGTTCTGAGCACTGGGCCTCGAGGCCGACCAGCACTGAGGCCGCAGGCAGGGTACTCAGCCCCTCTGGGCCTCGGTTTCCCCACCTGGCGTTTGCGGTTTCATAGGGTTACCCTAAGACCAGGATAAGATATGTGCCCAGTGCCTTGAACGCAGTAAGTGCTTAATAAGCGCTCACAGTTATTTACTCCAGTCGTCTGGGCCTTGCTTTCCCCATCTGTAACCGGGAGGGCAGCCCTAATCACCCAGGACCTCTTCTAGGTCACCGGAGCAAAACCCGGGGGTCCTGGGGTGGCCCTGCCAGGCTGAGAAGGTCTGGGGGATGGGAGAGGGCGGCACAGCGGCTGGGATCAGGAAGCTGCAGGAGGCTGGGCTGACTCACCAGTCAGCCGGGCTTGGGGGCTGGGCTGCGGGCCCCCCACGCGCCCCTCTGGGCCCTGCCTTGCGCCCAAAAATGCTGTGTCATGCTCTGTCATGTGGCTCCGGGTCATTAATACCCGAGTTCTGGGAAGCTTGGGCCGAGTTCCCGGAAGGGGTCAGTCAGTTCAGTAAACAGATTGGCTGGTTGGTCGTCACAGCTGAGCCGGGCGGGCCTGCAGCTCAGGAGGCAGGAGGTGGGGACCGGTGGCCACAGGGGACACAGGAACTGCCCCCATCCCTAGGCAGGGCTAGCACCTCCCAGGGCAGTCTGGCCCAGGATCCGCACATGAGAGGGGAAACCGAGGCTCAGAGAGGGCAAGGCACTTGCCAGAGGCCACACAGCGAGTCTAGGGTTCAAACCCAGAATTCTGGACTCATCATCCAGTGCTCTCAGCATCTGTCTGACTGAAGGGTGGGAGGCTCTGTATCCTCCTTACCCCCCAATCCTGACCTAGACCCCAAAGCCAGTTTGTTGGATGAAGGGAAAAACACACAGAAGGCAATTTGGGCAGGAAGTGGGTTTGGAAGGATATCAGGCTGTCCCCAGTGGTAGGTCCTAGAATAATAAGACTTCAACTTTCTTGAGCACCTACTATGCGTCCTTAGGCACATGAGGGCCACTTAGGCTCTGCTCTAAGTATCTTACATTAAGTCACGCATTTAATATGCAGCCACCTTCACACAGATAACCACAGCCCTCATTTTTTAAGCATCTACTAAGTGCCAAGCACTGAGCTGGGTGATTGATAGGCACCACCTCTGATCTTCACACGGACCCTATTGGGTGCCCACTGTCCTCACCCCCATTTATCAGATGAGGAAGTAGAGGCCCAGGAAGGTGAGCGGCTGTGTCATTTGGTGGCAGGAGAGTAGGCCCCGGAGTCCCCTGGACCTGGGGATTCAAACCTTGGCTTCACCCCTTCCATCGGTATAATGTCACGAAAGCGACCCCACCACTCGGAGCCTGGGTTCCCCCCCTCGGGTAAGTAGGGATGTTTATGGTACTCGGGACACAGGGAGCCAGACCTGGCGTGAGCACATAAGGGTCGTTACAGAGCAGCGGTTGGAACGCAGACTTCGGGCTCCAGTCCTACTGGGTGACCTCAGGTACACAGCTTAACTTCTCTGGGCCTCTGTGTCCTCTGTAAAACGGGCATCATACACCTCCCTCGTGCCGCCAGCGGGAGGAAGAGCTGGGCATTGCACAGGCAGTCAGCACGGGTGACCTCTTCTTCTGTCCCACAGATGATGACTCTGCTGGGGTGAGGGGAAGGGGCCCTAGGCCGTGGACGAAGGACAAGGCATCCATGCTCTCTGCCACCCTTCTGGTCCCACAAGCAATTTAAACAGAGGAGGTCAGCCCCTCATTCTTCTCCACATTCTCGGGGCCCCCCCCCCCCCGGGCCCGGTTGTGCTCCTGACAGGCCTCATCTCTGCTCTTTGGTTTTTGCGGCGCCTCTGACCATCGGTAGCTCCAGCCCCGACCCCCTTGGTCCAGACCCTCACCTCGCTATCCCCACCTTCACACTTGCACTCACGGGGTCCTCCACCTCGCATGCTCTCACTTACCCTAGCCCATCTGCCTGCTCTATATTTCACCCATCCTTTGCCACTCGGATCCAAAACCGCCTCCTCCAGGGAGCCTGCCCGGATCCTCCCCCTAAAAGCAAACTCTCCTGGATTCTCTCTAAACCTCACTTACCCCTTCCTATCATTACACATCAGCTATTTTTGCACACGTCACCTCCAATTTTGGCTGCCGTGGGGTGGAAAATTTGCAAGGGAGCTTTGGAAAAGAAATTTTATTGCCTCTAAAATACTTAAAGAAACCTGCTAAATCGAAATTAATCAATCTTTCATTAAGCCACTCAAACTTCACAATTCAGCATTCAATTCCTAATTTAGTATTTACGAAAATTTTTGTGCTGTTTGAAAACAATCTGCAAGCGAGAATGTTCCTTGTTGGGCAAACACTCCCTGGTGTACATGGGGATTGCCAAGAACCCAAAGTCAGTGGTAAAATAAATGAGCAGCCTGTTGCCAAACAATTTCGGAAGTGAAATTATTAATATTATTAAAGTTCTTTTGTGATTTTCCCAGCCCTGCTTTTGGTCTGGCCTCTTCATGTATTTCCTGGCACCTCTTCCCCCCTCCGCCCCCCGCCACCCCCCGCCAGCCCCCCATTATCTCCTTCTCTTCCCTCCTGGTTCCATCTCTTATCTCCGTCCTCCTCCAAAACAGTCTCCACGTCTCCCATATTCCCACCTCCACACCCTCGCTCACGCTCCCCCACCTCCTGGAATGCCCTCGCCTTTTTTTTTTTTTTTTTTTTTTTGCCGCATCTGACCCTTCTTCGAAGCAGAGTCCAAGCCCCACCTCCCTGATAACGCCCAGCCCCGCCCCCAGCCCCGCCCCGCCCCAGGAGAAGCTGCCCTCCCTCTGCAACAGCTGTCCCTCCCCACTCCTCTGGCTGGAGTGGGACGGGGGTGTCAAACTCATGGCCTTCAGGACAAATCTGGCCTGTATATTAGTAGCTTTGCCCCAGCATTTAAAACTCCAGAAAAATCGATCCAGATTTACAGCTTCTCAGGAAAAACTGGAAGTCCTGGCCTTCCCCCTAGGTGACACTGGACCCACGCTTGAGACAGGCCTGCCCTCCGGCCAGCCACTCCAGCATCTGGGCTGTTTGCCTGGCCCTGGAGGCACCTGCATTTGCAATCCTTGGACTCCAGCGGGGGTCCCAAGGCTTCCTTTAGTCTCAGGATCCCTTCTTGAAACATCCTAGGTTGATTGATCTCTCTCAATCTCCCTCTCTCTCTCTCTCTCTCTCTCCCCCCCCCATCTCTCCAAGTGCAATGCAACAAACCTTGCTAACTTTTCCTTCAAAATGGGCCCAGAATCCACGGGCTTTCTCCTCCCTCCACTCCCTCACCCTCCCTGGAATGTCTACAACCCAGCGGTATCCTGTTAGACCAGTAGTTCCCAACTGGGGGCGATTTCGTATCCCAGGACACATTTGACAATGTCTGGAGGTATTTTCAGTTGTCACAACTGGGTGGGGGGAGGAGTGCTATTGGCATCTGGTGGGGACAGGCCAGGGATGTTGTTCAGCCCTCCTGCAGCGCAGAGGCCGGCCCCCCACAACAAAGCACCAGCAGGCCCGAAAGCCTAGAGCACCCAGGTTGAGAAAGTCCGCGTCGGAACCTGAGTCAGACCCTGTCCTTCCTGCGTCAGAACCCTCCAGGGGCTCCCACTTGCAATAAAATCCAAACCCCTCCTCCTGGGGCCCAACAGCCCTGAGTGATCTGAGCTCTGCTGGCCTCCCCCCTGCTCACTCCTTATCTTTCCCCAACAACGCAAGATTTTTCCCACCTCAGGGCGTTTGCATCTGAGATTCCCACCATCTGGAACACTCTGCCCCAGATGTCTGCAGGGCCGGTCCCCTCCCCTTCCTCCAGCCTCCCGTTCCTTCTGCAATGGCCCATGGTACACTGCGGCCCCAAAATTCCTCAGTCCCCTTTGCCATTTATTTCACTATCTGACATCCTCCACCTTTTACTTTTATTGCTTGATGGTCTCTCCTGCTAAAACATAAGTGCCATGAAGGCAGGGACTTGGCCCATTTTGTTCACTGCTGTGCTTGGCACATAATAGGTGCTCAATAAAATATCTACTGAGTAAGTGCATGGCTTGGTCTACCAGACCGCCCATGCATTCGAATTTTAGAATGACAGGGGCTTGGTCCACTGAAAGCCAGGATTTCTTTGTCCTGGAGGGAAGAATTCTGTTTCCAGGAGTCAATGATCTTGAGTATCCACTGAGCTCCCATTCCAGGCTGGAGCACTACTAAGGATTACTCAGATCCTGGCTTGGAGAGAGAAAGGGCAGAGGGCAAGAGAGAAGGGGAGGCAGGGGCTGGACCAGAAGGTCAGTAGGCTGAGGTCACAGGCAGGGGTGATGGATGACAGGTCCCTGCTTGGGAGGCATCCCAGGGCCGCCCACCATCGGAGACCCTGGGACCCCTCACAGAACAAGAACTGTGCCTGGCAGTGTAGGGGAGGGAATTTCTGGAGAACTCACATGGAAGCTCAGAAAATAAAGGTAGACAATTTGGCCCAGGAAAAAGCCACATAAAGTGAATTTATTGAGAATCGGGGCCAACATATCCAAATAAAGATCCACCTTAGAGAAATCTGACTAGGCCCCTGTTTTGCAATGTTAAAAAAAAAAAAAAAACTGAAAATAAATTGATTTTCCCGTCTCTTCATATAATTATGCAAATTCCTAGGGCGAACAAAGCGAATCGGGTGCTGCTGTATTTAAATATATTTAAACAAAATTGCATGACGGCACAGTGAAATGTCCTTTCCATTGCATCTGATCACCCCTAAATAATCACGGAGAGAGTCGTTTCTGCAAAATTATTCAGTCGACACCGTGGCTACCACTGGACCCTGGTCACTGCCCCTAGACCTCGCCTGCCTACTGCAGCCTGTGGGGAAATAGAGGAGCCTGTGGCCCCACCCACCCCAGAAAGGGCTCCGGGAGCACCACCCCCATTATTTCCAACTTCTGATTCATAAACTGGCAAGGATGCACCTGATTGGTGCACACTGGTCACATGGCCTTGCTGGAGCTTGGAGAAGCAGTCCTCAACCCCTCCTTCCCCCGGGCTGGGGTCCTGCCTTCCCCCTGAGCCCCCACACCGCAGCCCCTCGCCACAGCCCTTTCCGTGCCCCAGGAGGGGCCGGCCCAGCACCTCCCGTTTTTAAAGGGCTGAAGACTTACTATTTCCCATTTTAGAAACAAACCAGAAAACATATTTTTTATGTTTTTAAAAATTAAGGGGGAATTCTCCCATTATGAAGGTGGTCTCAAACAAGACAAACTTTCCTTGGGGAAAATGACATACAAAGAGAAATAGATTAGGTACCTCCTAGGCGCCAGAAACTGGGAATGCAAAAGTGGACAAAGCTAACGTCATCCTCCTGACCTCATCCTCAATGGGAGAAATGACTGAAAGGGTGATCCCCTGCCCCACGGTGACCAGGGGCACCCAGCGGACTCTGGGAGAAAGGGACACAGTCGCCATCAAGAACGATGAGGTGAGGAAGAGGAGAGAGTGTTCCAGGCAGAGGGAACTGCTTGGCAAAGGTGTGGAGCGAGAAAGAACTCCAGCCACAGCTGGAGTGTGGGCAGGGCTGACGCTTCTAGAACCTTCTAAACCAGACGTGTCCACAGAGTTGGGTTGTTTGTTGTTTTTAATTTGATTCGTTGGCCAGCATTTAAAAATCAGGACTTTTCACATGCGACCTCAGATTTCTGGCTTCTCTTAATAAATGGAAAGATCTGGGCTGCGTGCCGACTAAGAGGCAGCTGTCCCCTGAGAAGGGCCTATTCTCTCCAGTTTACGGCAGTCACCACCCAGCCCACCTCACTCACCATATCACCTCCTGACCCCGAGATGTCTGAGTTTTTGACTCCCTGTTCTTTTTTATTTATTTATTTATTTATTTTTAATGTTTATTTATTTTTGAGAGAGAGAGAGAGAGAGAGACAGAGTGCGAGCAGGGGAGGGGCAGAGAGAGGGGAAGACCCAGAATCCAAAGCAGGCTCCAGGTTCTGAGCTGTCCTCATACAGCCTGACGCGGGGCTTGAACTCATGAACCGCGAGATCATGACCTGAGTTGAAGTGGGACACTTAACCGGCCGAGCCACCCAGGCGCCCCCGACTCCCTGTTCTAAAGCCAGCCAAAGAGGATGCTGGGGAACTGGGCCCAGAGAGCTTAAACAACCCTTCCAGGGTCCCACAGCACACAGAAGAGGGCTACCACCTGGGACTCGGGACACCCAGTTCTGCTTAGCACACTAAGCACCTACCCCCAGAAGGCCCACGGGCCCCACCTCCGTTCTCCAGGAGCTGCTGACCCTGCCCCCCACCCCCCCCACCCCCCACCCCCCACCCCCCACCGAGCCCCAGAGGACTAGGAGGCCATGCCGGGGCGGGGGGGTGGTGGTGCTGGGTAGTGAGCTGGGGAAGGCCCCGTCCTGTTTAGGTTTTGTGGTCTCGTGAGTAACTGAGTGGAAAAAAACAAGCTTGAAAAGATAACAATTACAACGAAATTAAATCAAATCAGGCTCGTGACTCATTTATGGAGCCGTAAAAACAGAAAACAAAAACAAGCTGGTTCTGGAGAAAGGAGGCCAGGATGAGGAGGGGAGAAGTCAGGGAAGGGAAAAAAATAAAGCAGCAGCAGCCGCCTCTGGGACTGTCGCTACCCCAACAGTGAGGCACAGGGCCAGGCCCCAGAGCGGCCACGGCCCCCAGAGCGGCCACGGCCCCCGGGGCTCGAGAGCCAGGACACCTGAGGCCCAGGGGAGGGGCCAAAGACCCTAGATGCCGGCCAGATGGCTGGTCCTGTCCTCCCAAACACCCCCGACACCCCCGTGAGCTGGGAATCATTAGCGTGCCGTTCCCCAGACAAGGAAACTGTCACTCAGAGGGACCGAGGGACAAGCCTCAGATCACACGGCCAGGAAGTGGGAGGATGCGATTCAAACCTGGTCCCGGAGCCAGCATGAGAATCGAGAACCTGCTCTGGGAGCGACAGAGAAGCCGGCCTCGCGGAGCCGCTCTGACCGCCTCAGGAGCCCCTGAAGGCCAGACACCCACACAGCCGCCCCTCTCTAGTCTCACTGTCTCATTTGCTAACAACAGGGTCACGTCAGGCAACGCTGAAGGAAGGCCCGGGAGCTCGGTGGGTCTGACCCAGGGGAGCTTCAAAGCCTCGCTCTGCCCATTTCCCAGAAGCCTCTGCCCCCCCCCCCCGGGGATGTAAGAGGAGGCCAGAGGCAGAGCCTGAGGGAGCCCGCCCCACAGCCCTGCGACTCCCCAGAGGTCGCTCTGACCCAGGGACGAGACTGTGCCGGCAGCGGGGAGCTGGGCCGGACAGACGAAGCAGGAGCGCAGGGCTGGTGAGAGCAGGATTCAGGGGAGCTGGGAGGGAAACCACTGCCAAGAATAACACCATTCACCATGTGGGGTACTGAGTGCTTGGTATGGGCAGGGCATGGTGCTGAGTGCTTTCCATTTGTTCATTCATTCATTGATTCATTCAGCCATTCTGCAAGTCTTTCTTGAGCAGCTTCTTGTGTCAGGTGCCATGCTGGGGGGTGGGGACATAGCAATGATCATGAGCTGCCGTCTCTGAGGGGTAGACAAATAAGCAAGATCACGACGCATCAGGTAGTAAGAACTACAGAGGGGAAGGGCGTGCAGGGGCCAGAGAAAGACTCACTGCACTGTGACGTTGGAGCAGAGACTTGAAGAAGGAGTGAGAGCAAGCCATCTTCGGGAAAGGTGTAACAGACAGAGCAGCAACTGCAAAGGCCCTGGGGTGCGAGCGTGCCTGGCACGTCTGAGGAACAGCAAGCGGGTCAGTCCCAACGGCCAGCAGGGCTGGTACTGCCGTTACCTCCCGTTACAGAAGAGGAAATTGAGGCTCAGAGGGGGGAAGTGACTTGCCCAGAGTCACACAGTCAGGAAACGGCAGCCCAGGGAACAGAGCACAAGTCAGACTGTGCGTGGAGGGGAAGTGTATGTGACAAGCTGCATGGCCCAGGGGCGACTCCCAGACAGCATGTGTCACTTGCCTGTGTCACAGCCACAGATGTGTGACTGTGTCCCAGCCCCCTCAGATCCTATCGTCACCATCGTGGCACTCCTGCTTTCTCTGCCCAGCCCGGGGAGTCTCAGCCCTGCGCCCCCACCCCCTCCCACCTCCTAGGCCCCCTGAGGTCTAGAGGTCACTGGATAGCCAAGAACCCAGAGAACTCATTCAAGCTAAATTGTGAGTGACTGCTAGCAATCCTTGGCTTGTCCCAATCCCTGGGGTGACCTTTTACCAGGTCACAGAAGAAGTTCTGCGGCCTCAGTTTCCCCGCCTGTCAAATAACACATTCACTTAGGTGGTCTCCAATGGGAGCTGAGGATTCTTGGGTCCAGAGAGAGGCATGGCTTCTTGAAGTCACACAGCCAGGGAGTAACAGAGCCAGAGAAACCCTGGCCTGCTGACTGTTGGCCCAGCCCTCTTCCTCCTGCCTGGACGCTGCTTTATCCTGGAGCTCAGCCTGCCCTACTGTCTTCACCAATCGCCCCTCAGCCACCACCCATGCCTGTGTGCACGCTGTCCCCTTCGTGGGAGTGCCTTTCCCCTGTGCAATCTCCTCCACTCATAAAGGACAGATAAAGCCGGATCAGGGTACAGACAGGGCAGTATAAAGGAGGTGGAATATCTGTTTTTTTAAATGTTTATTCACTTTTAAGGGGGGGGGCGGGGCGGGGGACAGAGGATCTGAAGCAGGCTCTGTGCTGACAGCAGTGAGCCCTATGCGAGACTCAAACTCACCCATGAGATCATGACCTGAGCCGAAGTTGGATGCTCAACCGACTGAGCCACCCAGGCGCCCCGAGGAGGTGGATAATGCTTATGCTGGCAAGGGAGGGGGGCTCAGAGAAGGCTGCTCTGAGGGGTGGCGTCCAAACTAAGACCTGAAGGGGGTGAAGGAGTGAGTCATGTGAATACACAGTGGGCGAGGTTTCCAAGCACAGGGACTGGCACGTGCAAAGGCCCTCAGGTAGAAAGGTCTGAGGCTTATTAGAGGAACAGCAAGGAGCCCGCTGGGTTGGGAAGGAGTGGCAAGGCAGAAAGTGAGAGGATGTGAAGTCATCAGAGAGGCATAGGGTTTCCTGGGGGTGGATGTTACACAGGGCCTTGAGGGCCATGAGGACGACTCTGGCTTTTACTCTGAGCAGGGTGGGAGCCCTGGGAGACCCCGGAGCACAGGAGGGACAGGATCTAACTTAGGTCTAAGGGGATCCCTCTGGCTGTGTGCAGAGAACAGACTGTAGGTGCGAGTCCCCCGGGTGGGTGAGGCTGGTGGCACGGGCCAGCGTGGGGCAGTGGAGGTGGGGGGCCAATAGGATATGGTGAGAAATCAGATGTGGGGGCGAGTGAGAACAAAGGGTCGAAGGGGACTCCCAGCTTTGGGGGCACCCTGGAGGAGGTGCCAGGAACTGAGACAGGGATAGTCTGGGGGCAGGATCACGGGTTGGATAACGGCTAGGCTGAATGTTTGGCTGTCAGTCACCCCAGCAGCAATGGGGCGGGGGGTGGGGGGAGGTGAGACTCGAGTCTGGAGGCAGGAGAGGTGTCCAAGTTGGAGAGATGCATGTGAAAGTCTCCAGCATTTAGATGAGGGCAAGGACTGTGTCTTGGGCACCTGTGTCCCCCACTGCCCCTCACCCCAGCCCCAGGCATGTCTTGGGGAGGCCTCAGGGAGCGACCAGGGGGCCCTCAAACGAACCCAGGAGCATGTGTCTTGAGTACTTGCCATGCTCAGGGCCAAGCCAAGCGCCGCCTCTCACTGACTCACCTCTTCCTCACAACATCCTGAAGGAGTAGGTACCACCAGAGCCCCGGGTACAGAGCTGAGAGTGAAGGGAAATAAACCACCGAATTAATGAATTTGGGAAGGCCACCCTCAAAGAAGTAGAGCAGGCGGTGGGCGAGGCTGGGAGGGGAGAACCCCCTCCATTCTTCCAGCCCCTGATGCTGGGGCTGGGGCTGGATGAAGCCAGAGGTTCCCGAGTCACCAACATCGCCTCCTCCAGGCAGCAGGAAGGATTGCCTGTTCGGGGTTCTGGGACCCTGGAAAAGGGCCGAATGCAAACTAGAGCTCCCCAGGATCAGCAGGAGAGAGGCTGGAAGGGACCTTGGGAGACAAGCAGAGGAGGAGGGGGGACTGTAGTTAAGGACAAGGCTGAGGCCTCAAGCCAAGGGACAGAGACTAAGACTCTGGGGTAGGCCGGGGACCGTGAGATCCCCCCACCACGCCTATGGAGCTCTGGAAAGCCCTTTGGTCACCCAAAGTGCTCTCCCACCGATGCCTCGCACTCTCATTCACCACAGCCATAACACCCAGCCAGCCAATGGCTGTGATTTGTCAAATGTACTCCCCGAAATGTACCATAACCTGGATGGAGCCTGAGAGAAAGCTAAGGCTCACAGCCTGGGTGTGCACTGATTAAGCACCTACTGTGTGTCAGACCTCTCACCCAAGGTCACCAGCAAGAGAGGGGCCGAGGCGAGATTCAAGCTGAGATCAACCTGATCCTCAAACCGGATTCCTTCCACTGTAGGGATCCTCTTGCCCATTTGGCAGCCATGCAGGATGAGAACAAGAGTTGGGAGGGACCCTCAGGGGCAGGGGAGGAGGAACGAGACCGGAGTCTGTTTACTGAGGCCTAACCCTGCAAGACTCACTGAGCGAAGACTTTAGTTTCTCGTCCGTAAAATCCATCAAATGAGCCCCTCCGTGGCTGTGATGGATTACTTGGGGCATTAGCAACCTTTTTCTGTAAAAAGCCAGATGGGAAATAAATATCTTCACCTTGGGGGAGGCTTTTTTTTTTTTTAATGTTTATTTATTTGTGAAACAGAGGGAGACAGAGCATGAGCAGGGGAGAGGCAGAGAGAGAGGGAGACACAGAATCCAAAGTGGGCTCCAGGCTCCGAGCTGTCAGCCCAGAGCCCGATGCGGGGCTCGAACCCACAAACCGTGAGATCTTGACCTGAGCCGAAGTCGGATGCTTAACCGACTGAGGCACCCGGGCGCCCCACACCTCGGGGGAGTCTTACGGTCTCTTTCACAACTACCCAACATGGCAGTTGTAGGATGAAGACAATTATAGATAAATAAATGAACGGGCATGCTGAGTGCCAATAAAACTTTATTTACAAAAGCAGGCTATGGGGCCAGATTGGGTCTGACGGCACAGCTTACCAATCCCTAGGTTAATGAATGCAAAACAGAGCACCTAGCACATGTCCAATAATGTTTGATGCATGGAATAAAATGGTTCTCAGTCTTACTTTCTCCAGCTGTTACAAAGAAATCATTACAAGTAGCTACTTATCAAATGCTTTCCTTATTACTTAGAGATTCAGGGAGCCAAGCATGGCCCTCACCTCATTCCTCCTTATAAAAGCCTATGAGACAGGGCTATTGATGGTCCCATTTTACAGAAACTGGAGGTTAAGTGCCACAGGCCATGGAGCTGGAATATGACAAATTGGGGATTTGAACCCAGGTTTTCTGGGTCTGGGGCTCTCAAGTGCCTGGGATTCCATGTTACCCCTGAAGTGTGGAGGCAGGCAGACCGGGTCCCTAGGGCCCCTTCTGGGCCTTGTGCAGGGTCTGGCTCCAGACCCTCTGCTCAATCCCAAATGTCAATCCTCCCCCAGCTCAGCCCCAGCTCCAACCCCCAAGCCAGGGGTCTGCTGCCTGTACCCCCTCCTGGGCAGTGGGTCAAATACATAAGAGGGAGAGAGAGATACAAAGTCAAGGAGAGACAGAGCAAAGACAGGGACAGAGGGATCCAGGGAGACATAAAGAGAGATAGAACTTGGAAGGGGCTGCCTCATCTCCCATCCCTCCCTCCTCCAGGGCCTCCTCACCGGCCCTGCCCTGCTCTCCATCATCACCAACTCCCTCCAGGGAAAGAATGAGCCATCCGTCCCCCCCACCCCCACCCCAAGTCCTGTGCTAGAATCCTGGCTCAGGTGCCGACCACCGTATGACATTAGACAGGTGACTCCCTCTCGCCTCATCCTCCCCATCTGTGAAACAAGGAGGATGCTACCCGGACAGCGTCGCTGGCATCTGCAGATGAGCAGAGCAGGGGGTCTGGTGCCCACTACCAACAAGCACCCCTAAGAACCCTAGGCGCCCCCCCACCAGGCTACGGAAGGGAGTGGGGACGCATCTTCTGAGGTCAGGGCCTGTGTGGCCCAAGGTCTCATTATTCATCTCTCGGTGCTCTTGCCAAATATTTACTGAGCACCTACTGTGTGCCAGGTGCTATGATGGGCCCAGGGGACACAGCAGTGAAAAAGGCAGACAAAAGTCCCTCGCCATTCTAGAGGGGGAGACAGACAAACCACCAACGATTAATGCAAATGCACCCGGTGGCGAGAAGGGCAGTGGGGGGACAAACTGAGGGCACAAGGGGAAGAAACGCCCCCCCGGAAGGGGGCTCATTGTCGCGTACTCCCTGAGTGCTGGGTACTTTCACCAGTTGTATTTCACGGAGTGAGGAGATAGGCTCAGACAGGTGAAGTGACTTGCCCAAGGTCACTTCTGGAAAGGGGCAGAGCCAGAATTCGAGTGGGTCCCAAAGTCCTGGGGACAAACCGGGGTGTATAATCCAGGGTGGAGTGAGTCCATATCAGTCCTGCAAGATACCAGGCCTTGGATGCGGGACAGTGAGGCAGAGAACAAGGCTTGTGCCAGGGGCACAGAGGTTAAGGACTGGGGGATCTGGGTCCTTGGGCTCCCTGGCAGGGCCCCAGCTCCAGCACTCTCCCTCCCCTCCCACCAGGCCCCGATTGGGGTGACAGCCACACCCAGGCTCAGCCTCTGGCCCACGCCGCCTGCTGGGAACACACAGTCCTCGGGACTAGAAGGCTCAAAATAGAAAGCTCGGAACCTGGGTCAGAGCCTGGAATGCCTGGGCAGGCAGGCCGGGACTCCTGGATCAGCCCGAGTGCTGCGCGGCCTGGGACTGGCAGGGCCACAGAATCACCAGCATCCACTGCTAGGGCCTCCGTCCCATCTGTATTCTCCCGAAACGGGTTCCAAGATGCCAGCTCCAGGATCTCATGAACCTGGGCTCATCTCCTCTCCTGGCCCAGTCTCAGACTAGCTGTGTGGCCTTGGGCTGGTCACCTACCCCCAGGAAGCTCAGGGTCCTTATTTGTCAAGAACTCATAGAGTCGTTTGTTCAGTCATTCAACAAATGTTTGTTGAGCACCTATTATGTTCTGGGCCCCGTGCTGGGCACTGGAGACACAACAGAAAAGAAAGCAGACAAAAATCTTGTGTCCTTGTGGATAAGTAAAATCTACAGTGTGTCAGATGGTGATGAGCACCCCAGGGGGACATAAAGCAGAAAAGGGAATGGAGAATAGTGGGCGGGGCATGGAAGCGGGGGTTCAGAAGAGGCGTCACATGCAGATGACACGTGAGCAGAAACCTGAAGAAAGGGAGGGAGGAGGCTCCATGGAGTGAAGAGTATTGAAGAGTATTCCAGACAGAAGGAACAGCCAGTGCAAAGGCCCTGAGGCGGCATGAGTTTGTGCCGGCTTCTTTTTAAATATTTATTTTTGAGAGAGACAAAGAGCACAAATAAGAGGGGGACAAAGAGAGGGGGAGACACTGAATCCGAAGCAGGCTCCAGGTTCTGAGCTGTCAGCATAGAGCCCTACGTGGGCATCGAACCCACAAACCGTGAGATCATGACCCGCGCTGAAGTCAGCCACTTAACCGACCGAGCCACCCAGGTGCCCCAAGCTTCTGCTGTTTCAGAGACACAGAGGAGGTCAGACGATGTGCGGCCTTGTGTGCTGAGGGAAGAGCTTGAAGGCCGATTCTCGAAACAATTGGACTACAACTCAGCAGGGGAATAACATGGGCTGAGCCACAGCTTTAAAGGATCCCTCTGGCTGGATGTGAAGAGGGAGTTTCTGGGGTCTGGATGGAAGCTTCTGTGCCCGTGTGGATGAGCAGCGATGGTGGCAGTGGAGGCAGAAGGAAAGACTTGGAGGCCCCTCTGGGCCTCCAGAGGCCCAGCAGGAAGTTGGTGGTCAGGCAGCCCAGCCCGGGAGGCTGACTGGTTTGTCCAGCCTGAAGCCTACGACCCCCACCCCCACCCTGTGTGGCCTGTGGCAGCCCCAGGGCTGGGAAACGTGCCTGGAATGTCAGCCATGAGGCCCAGGGTCAGAGAGTGCCCATGGGACCCGCCAGCGGCTGGGCGAGCACCCCGGCCACAGCCCTGCCCACACATGGAATCTCTCGGGCCCACTGGCCAGGGTAAGCGGTAATTACAGGCCCTGGAGCAGAGGGGGAGGGGACCACAAGCCAGAGCCTCCCCCACGGCCACTCCCATTTACTGAGCACCTATTTCGTGCTGAACCCTCACCACACACCGGCCCCTCCCAACCCCGTGCCGCCGGGACCCCCATGTGACCCATCTTGCAGATGAAGAAGCTGACAGTCCCACAGCACAAGTGAAGACACGCAGAAGTCAAATTGCTACCCAGGACCCCAAACCTGGCACACCTTCGTGTCTGCACGGGCAATGCACGGCTCCAGAGACCAGGGTGAGTCAGGAGAAAGTCCTGGAACGTGAGTCCCCTGGGGCTTCCTCTGAGCCTCAGCCCCCTCATCCGTCAAAGCATTCGTTCATTCATTCGCTCACCAGTCACTCTTTCATTCACGAGTGTTTGGGAGCTGGGACTACAGCAGTGAACACGGACAAAGCTTCCCACCTGAGTGATGCTGACATTCCAGTGGAAGAAACAGTCAAGAAGTCAGATAAACAGGGGCACCTGGGTGCCTCAGTCCATTAAGTGTCTGACTCTTGATCTTGGCTCAGGTCATGATCGCATGGTTCACGAGTTCAAGCCCCGCGATGGGCTCCAGCAGACAGCGTGAAGCTTGTTGGGATCCCCTCCCTCCCTCTCTGCCCCTCCCCCCCCCAAATAAAAATAAAGTTAAAAAAATGTCAGATGAATAATTTTCTACAGAAAACTATAAGTCCTGGAAAGAAAATGAAATCGCATGGGCTGATAAAAATGCGGGAAGGCTGACAAAAATAGCCAGGGAGGGCCTCTCTGAGGGGTGACTTTGGAGCTGAGGCCTGACTCACCTCAAGGCGAGAGCTGAGCAGAGAGTATTCTCCAGTCCGGTGGGGAGAGCAAGTGCAAAGGCCCTGAGACAGCAGCATAACTGGCGTGTTTGGGCCGCGAGCAGGAGGCCAGTGTGGCTGCAGCTGAGCAGAATAGGGGAGAGAATGGGTGGGTGGGAGGGAGGGAGCCAAAGGCTGCCATAAGGACTCTGGCTTCCCATCTGACTGCAGTGGGAACCAGGGAGGGTTCTGAGCAGAGGAGGGACAGGATCTGTCTTCGGTTCTGGGTTCTGAGGGAATCCCTCTGGCTTAGGAAGGCAGGACTGGAGGCAGGGAGATGAAGAATGGCTGTGGCTGCAGAGGTCGCAGTGGGAGAAGTCAGTGCTGGACCAGGGCAGGGCAGTGGACGTGAACCCCCGGACGCCTGAATGAGCTCACGGACGGACTGGTCACGGGGAAGCGGAGGGAAACCCCGGGTTTGGAGCCCGGACAGCCAAGAGGTTAAAGCTCCCATCACTGCAATGGGGAAAACCCCAGGCTTGTTTGGGGCGGGGGGGGGGGGGGGGGCCGGGGGCCCCTTCTGGGCATGAGGCCCCACTCAGGGTAAAAGTGGGGCACCGAGTCCCCCACGCACCTGCCTCAAGCAGAGCATTGGTGAAGGGGTCCCATGGCCAGACGGCGCCGGAATCTGTGACCCCAGAAATGTGACCCCAGGTGAGCCCTGCAGACACAGCTCCCTTGACCGGCCCAACCTCACCCCACGGTGAACAAACTCACTATTCTTTGCCCTGCCCTGACCATGCCTCCAGGCTCCCTGGAATCCTAGAGGTTGGGGCCGGGGGTGGGGGTGGACGGCACAAGGCTGTATGTGCTTCTCACCCACCTGCCTCCCCTGCCGGCCAAACAGGGCCGAGGAAGATCCATGGCCGGTTCTTCCTCCACACCTTTGTCCGGCCCGTTCCCTTTTCGCCTCTTCCCCTGCCTAGCCCACCACCTGACTCTTGCTCCCCCCACAACCCCCCGCCGACCTGGCAGAAGCCTTCAGAGATAGCACCCAGCGTCCCTCGTGGGACCCGGTCACTGTGATGCCAAACTCCCCGTCAATCTCATCATCACTTGGTTCTCTGAGTCTAAGTTCCCGTTTCATAGATGGAGGAACTGAGGTTCCGAGAGAGGGAGCAGGTTCCCAAGGTCACAGGCAAGGTCAGTGGCAGCACCAGGATTCAAACTCAGGTCTGTCTGACACCAAGGCTCTCAACCTCCACACGGTACGGCGGCTGGCTCAGGTGGGCATAGGCAAGGCTTTGAGAGCAAGCGATTTATTTGGGAGGTGATCCCAGAAACACCAGGAGGGAGTGAGGAAGTGAGACAAGGGAGGGAGGTGAACAGGCCACCTCTGTGGGCTCAGCACCCAGGAACCTCTGGGGGAAGAAGGAGAATATGGCCCAGCACTGCCCCCCACGAGGCGAGGAAGTCAAGGTATTCCCGTGCCCTTCCCCACCTCTGCTGACAAGGGTCTCTCACTTCTGCCCCACATCCTGCAGCCAGAGTACCTTCCGGGTGGGCCCTGAGAGCACCTGGCACCCCGGCCATCCCAGAGGTGGCTTCCGTCCCTGTCGCTTCCCCCCACGCCGCCTGCCCTGCACTGGCCCAGACCTTCTGACCCCAAACCAGAAGCCTGAGACAGCAGAGCTGGTACAGATGGGAAAACTGAGGACCACACGCCAGGAGCGGCTCAGCGGGAGGGTGGCTGAACGAACTTCCCTTCCGGGCCACCCGGCTTCCAGAACAGTGCGGGCCCTGGGTCACAGACCAGGCAGGAAGCGGCTGAGCTGTGTGACTATGTGCTGGTCCCTCAGCTTCCCAGGGCCTCAGTTTCCTCACCTGAAGAAAGGGATCATTAAAAAAACAAAAAACAAAAAAGCACGACATCGTGAGATTTTTGTGGGATTCAATGGGACACTAGATCTAAAGGCCTTAGAAGAGCACATGGCAAATAGCAGGTGCTTAGGTAAATATGTGTGTTTAAATGAGATCATGCCTGGCACATAGGGGCCATGCAGCAGATGGGAGAATTATCATGACAGCCGTCACTGCTGTTTAGGGCCCTGTCCATAATGGCCCGAGCCCAGGCCCGCTCCGTTGGGACAAGATGTTGGCTGAGCAGCCCCTGGGTCCCCCAGCCTCCTGGGTCCCCCAGCCTCTTGCTTGAGGCTGCCTGAAGTTTGGAGAAGCCGAGGGGGAGGAGGAGGAAGAGGAGGAGGAGGAGGAAGGGGCCGGGGCCTAGGCCAGGCCTGCTCGCGGTAACTGCGGGCAGTGACCCCACCTGACAGGCCCCTACTCACCCGTCCACCCATCCGCCAAAGCCGCCTGCCCATTCCACGCAGGGGACGCCTCGTCTTGCACAAGACAGGAAGGGGGAGGCCCCGGGCGGTGGTGGGTGACGCCAGGACCCCGTGTCCACCCGCTGCAGACAGGATGGGCAAGGGAGGCCCCAGCCAGCTTCCTGTGTGCTGACTACACTGGGCAGAAAGGAGAAGTGGAGCCCGGGGTCACAGGGTGATCCAGGCAGCACCTTCCGCACCCCGGCCCAACTCTTCCACCCGCTGTCCCTGATTCAGGGGCCCTGGGTTCAAATCCCACCTCCGCCATCTCCCAGCCGCGCGACTTGGGACGACGCATCTCAGGACCTCCGTTTCCAGTTTCTGCTGGAGAACAGGGAAACCTCTCCTCCAAGCCTCCCTGCCCCCACATGTCACCATCACGCCCATGTCGCCGACGAAGAAACCCAAGCCATAGGGTGTTTTCAAACAGCATCTATTACACTTGAAGGCTTAGGGACACGATGAGGGAGCACAGCCCTGAGGACCTACTGCACGTTGGAGACCACGGAGGTGAGGTCAGTGGGACTCCGGCCGATCACTTACGATTCTCCCTCGGAGGAGCCAGGGCGGCCTCTGCTCAGCACAGCTCTCCAGCCGCTGTCGAAGCGAGCACCTGAGACCCCAGGAAGTAAGCAGGGAATGTCGCCCAGCTCCATCCCAGCAACAGGCTGGATGGGAGGAACACCGCCCCAAGAAAGAGGCCGCCCTCCAGCAAGCTACCCCTGGATAGTTCCCTATAATCAGGGACCCCGAAATAAATCTGCCCCTGCTGGCCCAGACTCTTAGGGCCCCCTCCTTGGGGACGCGCCTGATCTGAAGAAGGCATCTTCAGAATAAGCATCTCCCCAGAGGGGTTGCCGAGTGGTTTATGGACGGCCCGCAGGGCGGGAGCGGCATACTGGGGGACCACAGGCAAAGCCTGGGCTTGGTTGGGGGTGGGGGGAGGGGGACAGTCACAGAGTAACTGAGAAGGCGCCGGGTCCAGGGCCGGGAGGAGGAAAGGCAGATACAGGCCTTTCTCCAGGAGACAGGCCGTGGTCTCCATCCGCACTGCCAGGGAAACTCCAGTGACCCAGAGCCCCACGGGTGGACTGTGTAAAAGGAAAAATGAAACCAAATGCAGAGCCCCGGGCCTCCTGCCAGCCCTGGCCATCCATCTCTGTATTCACTGCCCCCACCCTGGTCCAAGCCACCATCGTCGCTCGCCTGGACACCCACAGCTCTTCCCAACCTGGTCCTCCTGCTTCACCCTTGTCCCCTACACAACCTTTCCACGCAGCAGTTGGAGGGGCCGAAAATGTAACCCCAACCAAGTCACTGATTCGACGCCCCAGTGACTGCCCATCACATTCAGGATAAAATCCGCACGCCCGTCCCTGACCTCCAGCCCTGGCCGTCTGGCGCCTGTCCCCTCCAATGCCCTCTCTTTCTTCGCTGTCACTCACCTCCCCAGAAACACAAGCATCTTCCTGCTCCTAAAGTAAGTCAACCTGATGCCCACCTCCAGACCTCTGCTGTTGCAAAGGTTCCCCCATATTTTCCCCTGGTCGCTGGGTCTCATTAGCCTCAATAGATGCCCCCTCCTCCCAGAGCCGCCCCCCCCCAGCCCGTGCCAGGGGGTTTCTCCCATCACGCCCCACTGCCCCCTCTGCCGATGTCTTCATAGCCTGTATCCGTGTCTGGACGTTTGTCTGTCTCTCTCTCGCCAGGCATCCGATCCACCCTGGTCACTGCCATGCCCCTGGCACTCGGCACACAGCAGGCGCTCAATAGATATGTGTTGAAAAATCAGGGCACCTGGGTGGCTCAGTCGGCTGAGCATCTGACTTCGGCTCAGGTCGTGGTCTCGCCGTTCGTGGGTTCGAGCCCCGTGTCGGGCTCTGTGCTGACAGCACATGGAGCCTGCTTTGGAACTTCTGTCCCTCTCTTGCTCTGTCCCTGCCCTGCTTGTGCTCTCTTTTTTTTTTTTTATAATTTTTTTCAACATTTATTTATTTTTGAGACAGGGAGAGACGGAGCATGAACAGGGGAGGGTCAAAGAGAGGGAGACCCAGAATCTGAAACAGGCTCCAGGCTCTGAGCGGTCAGCACAGAGCCCGACGTGGGTCTCGAACTCACAGACCGTGAGATCATGACTTGCTTAACCGACTGAACCACCCAGGGGCCCCTCTCTCTCTTAAAAATAAACAAACATTAAAAAAATTTTAAAAACAATAGATATTTGTTGAAAGAGACTGAGGGGAGGCAGTTCAGTCGCCTAGGGGCTCTCACTGGAATCTTCCGGGTCCACACTCGCAGCCTCACCCCGGGAAGACAGGTGGGGCCCTCCTGAGCGCCAGACCCCAGCTGGTGCACAGTGCTGAGGAGAATTCGGTTTCACTGGGAAAGAGGACCGGTGTGCGATGTCTGCCACAGAGCGGGCAGGGTGGTGGGCATCTGCAGCCATTCATGTGTGCTTTGTTCATTGCTGTCTCCACAACACCCAGGACAATGCCTGGAACACACTGGATGCTCAACAAACATTTGTCCAATGTCAAATACACGAGTTCTTTATCCAACTGGCTGCTCCTTTCAGGAACAGAAACACCTTTAGCTCATTCATCCAACAACCAGCGGCCAGCTGCTCAGTGAGGCCCACTGTGGGCTCATCCTGAGAACAGCCAAGCGAGAGGCTCTGACCCTCTACTTAGAGGAGGAAGCCAAGATAATGAGGCTCCATCACAAGGTCACCCAGCTGGGTTCAGCTGACCCCAAAGTTCAAGATCCAAGTCTGCCCTGCCCTGCACCAGGGCATCCCTGGCCCCCTCCCTGGGGTACAGGGCATGAGGACAGGCGGCCTCTGCTTCCCTTTTGGGGCATGTCACAGGGATGTGGTTAAACGGAAGCAGGACCCTGCCCATCCCGGGTGCGGGCCTCTGAGGGCCCCACCCTCCCCATTCCCAGCCCAGGCTCTTCCCAGCTGACTGTGGGGCGTCAGTTCTCCGTTCCTCTTTTCTCCGGGCAGGAGGAAGCGGGTGGGGCCATGGGAAGATCCAGAGACTCAGTTTCCTCATCTGACAAGTGGGTTCAACTCCTGGCACCTTCAGAAGCTGGTCTTCAGAAGTGGTAGAGATTCAAAGAGAACATTCACGAAAGATGCTGAGCCAGGGCATGCCAAGTAGTCAGGTGGGAAGGCAGAGGCGGGCAGAGGTGCCTCGTGACTTTCCTCCCTGCTCAGCTTTTCCCAAGGTCCTCCACTGCTCTCAGCATAAGACCAGGCTGCTCTCGCTGTGGAGCCTCAGCCTTCCCTACTCCTCACTCACCCCTCACCTCACAGCTCCAGGTACAAGGTCTTTTAGATTCACCAACTCCCTCTGTTCTGTTCTGTCCCACCACAGGACCTTCGCACATGCTGTGGCCACTTGCTGGAACATTTGTTCCTCCATTTCTCATCCACTCGGCCTCTACTCATCCTTCAGTTTTCAGCTCGGCATCTTCTAGAAAGTCTTTCTGACCTCCCCAACCACATGCACCCTCCTGCCCATCAAAGATCCTCATCACTTCATACTTGTCAGTCACAAATTGACGTTTCTGGGAGTGAGTTGGCTAATGTCCATCTCCCACACTAGGCTATGAGCTCCTTGTAGGCAGGGATCATTGTCTTCTCAGCACCTGGCACAGAGTACATGCTTCATCAACATTTGTTGAATGAATGAACGCTAAGCACAGAATGAATAGAGCAACAGGCAAGCCATGCCCCCAGACCCCCTCCCTCAGATCCTGGTCTGGCCTTGGACCCTGCACCACCCCTGCTCCTTGTCCCCAAAGCTCTGCCTCTCTCACCTCTCACATCCTTATTTTCCTGCATGGAAACGAGACGGATGGACCTTGATCGTGGGCTTTCAGACTGGGATCCCCTGAGCCTGGTGTTCAAAGGATGGGCCTTGGGGTCACTCTGGAGAAGAGGTCAAGGCCAGGAGTCCCCCAAGATGAACCAGAAGAGCACATACACACACACACACACACACACACACTCTTGTCTCTGTCACACTCAGGGCAGTCACAATTTAGGTACTTTGACAGGAATTCAACTACACGTGCTCAGCAAAAAATAAAAAGTCTCAGAGAGAAAAGAGCCATCGGATGGTGGATATGCCAGGAGGGGGAGATATGGGTTAGCGGTTCCCCCAGTCTGGGTCTGCTCAGATGCAGCCACACCGTGGCCCCCAAACATAAGCCAAGCCTCCCCTGGGCAGGGTCCCAACGCTGGGGTGGGGGTGGGGGGTTGGTGGGCCGAATTTATGGAAACCGTACATCCGCCTCGGGTGGGGAGGGCCGTGTCCTTCCTGTGGAATCCCCAAGGGGAACTTGGCCGTGGTTGATTTCCACCTTACAAACCAGCTTTAGGGCTTGCACTTGGGACACGTGGGCCACCGCACTGGGATCTTCTGTTGAACAGTGGGTGACACCTCTCCATAAAAAAGAAAAAAAATTAAACCATCAGACAGGATGAAAGAGAGCACGAGGGTGGACTGAAAATTCCTACAGTCCGTTCCTGTCCAGCGTCACCTCCGGACCCCCGAAGGCTCTGTGACACCATGAAAGTCCTGGCTCCATTCAGAGATCCTCTCCCCACTGCCTGGGACCCTCCCCTGCCCTGAGGCCCAGGCAGCACCCCTGGGGCGGGAGGGGGCCCACTAGACCTCAGCCGGGAGCCACCTCCGGCCCCAACGGTGTCTCCACGGCCACATCCGCGGGAGGTCATCTTGCCCAGACCGCTGCCAGGCACGGGGGTTTAGTGCACCACCTGTGTGCCAGGCCCCGTGCCAAATGAGACACAGTTCCCGTTTGCTAGAGCTCACCTTCGGGGCGGGCACGAGACACTGAGCAGACGGACACGTAAATACAGAGAGAGGATGACGAGTGTGCGGCAGAAAAATGAATCAGGGTCGGGACCGAGAAAGAGGGAGGGCTGCAGTAGGGGGTGGGCTGGGAGGTCTCACTGAGGAGCACGGGCCCAAGTGAGGGGAGGGGGCAGGACACGGAAAAAATCCCGAAGAACGGTAGAGGGACCAATAAGGGCAAAAGTGGGGAGAGGGCGGGGAAACGCTTGGGGTGTTGTTTAAGAAGCAGCCAAAGGCAGCATGGCCAGAAGGGAGGGTGGAGGCGTGGGGAGGGGAGGGGACCATCCTTCAGGATCTCCGGGGCTGGGGAGGACTCAGCATTCCTGGAAGCAGGTGGGAGCCACGGGAGGGGTCTGGGCAGGGCAGCGGTGTGAACGACCGAGGCTCCAACAGGACTCTGGGAGGCGGCCACCGGTGAAGAAGACATGCCAGGTGGTGGCAGCGGAGGGGAGGCGGGTCGGATCTGGCCGCAGGGGGAAGGTCAGGCCAGTGGGATTTGCCGACAGACGGACTGGACGTGGGGTAGGAGAGAGCGGGCAACTCCAGGGTCTGAGACCTGATCGCTGGGGGCGGCAGTGCCTTTCTCCGAGCCGGGGAGTGTGTGCTGGGGGAGGGGAGGTGGATGTGGCAGGTTAAGTGACACCCACACCTCTGATTGGAAACCCGAGCAAGACAGAGACGTGGGAGGAGGAAGAGGCTGGGCTCAGGCAGTCCGTGTGTCCAGTGGGGCACCGAGGCCGACACTGACAGGGACTAGGAATGCAGGACCGACGCCATGCTGCCCGGCTTGCCGGGCATGGGCAGGTGAAGGCAGGAGAGGGCTCCGCCTCAGCCCAAGGGCCATGTGCGAGGCCTGAGGAGGACCGGGCAGGGAGGACGGGGAGAACCAGAGCATCTTCCCCGGCATCTGGAGGCCTGGGAAGACGCTGCTCACCACCAAGAGAACCAGCCAGAGAAAGGCCAGCACCCCCAGGCCCACCGGTGCAGTCTAGAGGGGGAATGAACGTCAGCGAGGCTGGCACCAGATGGCTGGCCTGGCTGTGGCCCCGTTGCCCCCAGAGCCACATTTCTTTGGGACAGCCTGAGAGGCGGAATCCTCACATTCATCTAAGTCAGCCCCGGGAATTCTTTCCTGGTTTAAAGGTGGACGTGTGACTCCATGGTTATGTAGTCACAGGGGGAAGTCCACTGGGACATTTAGGAAATACTTTCCTGCTTGATGAAAGAGTGAGATTCTGGATGAAAAAAAACCTCCTTTTTGGCTCACCCCTTTCCCTTCCTAGTTAAGATGTGGTTATATGGGATGTGATGTCTGGTGCCACAGCAGCCACTGGGACCCATGAAGACGGGAGACGTGAAGAACCCAGATAACTGATCCAGGAACAGCCCCACATCCAGACTTCATGTTCTAAGATTTAATTAAATGCCTTCACCATTCCAGGCACGGAAGATGGCCTAATTGGGACAAGAGACAAATGGGAATGAACCCCGAGGCAGGGGAGGAAATAGAGAGGTGGTGGGAATGCAGAGGCTGAAAAGGAGTCTTTTAGAGAGGATTTCACTTGGGGCAGCAAGGTCCTGGGGGGAAGACAGTGTAGCCTCGCAGACACTCAAATCTTCACCTAGAAGTCTAGGATGCCATGGATAGCCCAACCTAATGTACAGATAGGGAAACTGAGGCCCAAGGAAGTTAGTAGCTGCCCGAGGCCACACAGCAGAGGCAGACTGGTTCACGCATCCAGCCATGCCGATTACCTGCCCTGCATGTCCCTGGGCCTCTCTGAGCCTCGGCTCCCTCATCTGCCGGCGTGAATGAGGGATGTGAATGAGGTGGCTCTCCTGAGGTATCACGAGTCTCAAGGATCCCCGAAGCACTCAGCGAGCCGACTGAGAAACAGTGAGCACTCAAAACCATCGAGGCACAGGGCCTGGGTGCATGGCAGGCTCCAGAAGTGTGAGCTACTGTTTCTGCAAACAGTGGACGCCCCACGAAGGGTGTGCCTACTCCATGGCAGCCACATTTCCAACCCTGGGCATCCAGTCACTCTTTTAATCCCTCCACAGCCCAAGATGCCTCATCCGCTCCCCAACTCCCAGCTGCCCAGGCCCCGAGTTCAGTGAGCCGCCACTGGTGAGCACTAACGCCTCACTGCGACCCCGGTGAGGTCCCTCCTCCTCTGCTTGTATGCCTCTTGGGACAGGCAGCTCACTCTCTGAGGGCCCCACTTTCCAAAGCTCTTTGTCCCTCTGTGGCCCTGGGCAAGTGCCAAGGGCCTCTCTGGGCCTCCCTTTCCACATCCGTAAAAGGGCATTCCTACCAGTCCCCCCTCCTACACTGCTTGTGAGGATCCAGGAGGGCCCCTGATGCAGTGCCTGGCCTACAGGTAGTTCTAGATTAGCATGAGGTATGGTGACTCAGCCATTATCGTTGCCAGGGGCTGCTGGCCCGGCCCCCCGCCTCTTGCCTGAGCCCTGGACCTGTTGGGTTTGGGAGCTGAGGTGCCAGGGGGGTGTCCCCAGGTCCCGACCCAGGAGCTGGAGGGGAGGGAAGCTGTGCTGAGCCTGCCGGCCCACAGCCCAGCCCTGCGGCCCCTGGCCACGGCTCACGCCCCGCCCGGGGCCACCACCATCTCTGAGGACCCATTGTTGCTGTCTGGCTCCACTCCAGGGTCCCGGCCCAGCCCAGGCTCCCACTTCCCTCCCGTGTCCCCCACCCTGCCGTCAACGGGGCTCAGGCCTCCCTACAAGAAGGCACCAGGTGTGGCAGCAACAGAGCCGTAGGAACACAAGTTCAAATCTCTGCCCTGGCACTTTCCGTCACTGTGACCTTGGGCACTTCATTTCTCTGTGCCTCAGTTTTCTCATCTGTTAAATGGGGTGACAGGACCTCACAGAGCTGTGCTGAGGATCCTATGAATTTGGGGATGGCAGAGTGCCCCGCATGTAATAAGCCTCAGGGAACATTGGCCCCACTTCCTCTGCTCCCCCAGGCCAGAGGACAGAGCCAAGAGGAGCAAATGCAGGGGTGGGGAGGGCACAACCGGCCTTGAAGCCGGGGTGCCATGAGCAGAGCACTGGATGAGGAGTCCAAGGCCAACCCTGCTGTGTGACCTTGGGCTGGCTGCAGACATCTCTGGGCCCCAGAATGAGGGAAAAAAGAGGCTAGGATCTTCCTTTCTCTCTAGGAAGTGGGGGAAGGGACAGGGGGGCTTAGAGCCAAGTTTTCTTTTCATTTTTTTCTTTTTAGCACAAAGGGCTTGAATGAAAATCAGCTGCAGGGACAGAGAATCCTATTGTGAAGGGAGCAGCATTCTAGGCGTTGGGCTTGGTAAACAGAGGCCAGGGTATCGGCCAGAGACGCTGACAGGCAGGGGACAGCTTGCTTGGGGCCTCCGACCCCTCCCTCGGGGCGCTAGCCTGGGTATCCAGGGCCCTCCCTCGGGCACCTCCTGCTCAACCACAGTATCTGTGTGCAGACACGGGCAGGCCATCTGGACTCTGTTTCCCCATCTGCACAACGGGTACGGTAAGAGTACTTTCCCCCTAGGTGGGAGTAGGTATGCTGTTACAGTCTCAGGGCAAGCACCTCACTCAGCAGGCTTGGGTAGGATACTGGCTCTGCCACTCACTTGCTGTGTGACGTGGAGTCAGCTATGTTGGCCTCTCTGTGCCTCGGTTTCCCCAACTGGGAGGTGGAAACAATAACAGCACTAGCCTGCCGGGCAGATGAACTGAGATGACTCAGCCTGGAGCCTGGAGCACAGTCCCATGACCTCAGCCCGCTGAGGCCCCCAGTCTCAGACACCTCCTTTCCTCCGAGTAACATGTTTATCTCAACAATTCCATCACGTATTTCTTGGGCACCTACTGTGCGTCAGTCTTGGGGAAGCCGACATCCCAGGAGAAGAAAGCCGTTAAACTCAAGACTTGTGTGTGAAGGGCTCGACACAGGACATAGGTGCTCAGTGATGCCGTTCACCCAACACCTGGCCTCCCGTGGCTGTTCCACGCTGGGTTCTGGCTGGGCTCTGGGATGCAGCCCTCGTGGCGGTCCCAGTCCGAGCATCTGAGTGGGGGCGGGAGACTGGCAGGTGGAAGAGGCAACATCCCATGAGGGAGGGTGCCCAGGCGGCCTCCGGAGCCAGAGGAAGTCAGGGTGGGCTTCCCGCGGGAAGCGGTTACGAATAACAACACACATTGAGTATTATTATGTGTCAGGCAGTGTTCTCTTCACAACAGCGCTTTGCAGAAGGTTTTCCACACTCGTTCTGTGGGTAATAGTCTGAGACCAGAGGGCCCGAGTAGCCTGCCTGAAGTCACACAGCAAAGACTTGATGGAGCTGAAATTCAAACCCTGTGGTCTAACTGAAGCGTTGCACTGCTCCCCAGACAGTGCTCTCCAGCGCCTAGCCACTGAACCCACTTGTCCCCTCTGCCCAGACTACACTCCCAACATCAGAAATCATCTGAAGCCTCCCCCACCTACACTCCAGCACCCCTGAAGGCCTGAGCCCCTCACTCACGGAGGAGGTGGGGGCAGACATGCGGCCAGCACAAAGTCCTCAGGGGCCGAGCCTGGCCCCTTGGTGGCCGAGCCATCGTGGTGGAAGGAAGGAGGGGACAGACATTTTCTGAGGCCTCACTGCACACGCACTCAGTCGTCACTCACAGCTCAGCGAGGCCAGCCCCGGGGCTAGCCTCATTTTCCAGAGGAGAAAACCGAGGCAGGGGGGCTCAGAGGCCCGTGTGAGTCCAGACCCTGCACCACCTCCCCCCACCTCTGCTGAAGAAATGAAGGAAACCGCCTCCAAGGCGACTCTGAGCCTCTGTTTGCCCCTTTATGAAATGGGGATCTGACCCAGGATCCTCCGCTTCGGGCAGGAGCCAGGTGGTGCAGGGGACCCATTCGCCTGGGGCCTGGGGCCTGGCCCAGGGGAGACCCTCCCGAGACCCTCCCGCAGCCTAGCTGTTATTACCGCTGCCATTATTACCGTGGTGGTGACACGCCCCCGTCAGCCCTCTGAACCCCCGTACGTGCAATTCTTCCTGTAACGAAACCCGCCTGCGAGGCCTTAGCGAGGGGCCCTGATCGCTCACTTAATTATAATCTTTGGGGAAAGAAAAACACCCCCCTGAGCCGCTAGGGAAGCCGCCAGTGTGGCTGCAGCCTGTGGGGGGTAACCTGACGCCCCTCAGCCAACCTGGCCCCCCGGCCTTTGTGTCAGTCCTGCCCAGATTACTCTATTTTTCCAACCCCAAACCAGGGCTGGCATGAACTCAATGCTCGGCATTGTCCTGGGACCGGGCCTTCCCCCAGGGCCCCCAGGGCCAGGCCTCATCCTTCCTCCAGCTGGGGATCCGGCCCCCAGGAGGCGTCTCAGAAATCAGAAACCCAGCAGGGCCAGCTGGGGCTGCCCCCCGTGTGCGGGGTCCTCGGGGGTCCTAGGCTTCTTGCTTTGCCACCTCATCAAAGCTTCAAACTTCACTGCTGGAAGGGGCTCATATGTGCCCATCTTCCAGATGGACAGACTGAGGCCTAGGTAGAACTGGCAGAGCCCGGGTCAGACTGAATCAGGATGCTTTCCCAAGAGGGGGCCTGGGTACCCTGGACCTGCCACCAAGCGTGAGAGGGAATTTGGGAGGCAGTCCTCCTGGGGACTTCACAGAGCACAAACGGAGGACATCTGGGACGCGGGGCAGAGGGCATCACGGCCAAGGGCTCCGATTTCCACAACAGCAGCTCCGGGTTCAGGTCCAGCTCTGGGCCCTGCTTGCACAAAGCTGGCTCCTCTCTGCACCTTGCTTTCCTGAGCTATAAAACTAGGGAGGGAGGGTATCAGGCTACCAGCTGGGGTGCAACGCTTAGCTGGTAGTAAGCGCTTCATTAACAGAGCTTCAAAACCCTGACAATGGCAAAGGTTCCAAGTCAGCACGAGAGCCCCCCACGTCACCCACATCGTGGGCCAGAGCGAAAGACTGAGCCACACCAGGGGCGAAGGTGGATTCTCACCTGCCACTCCAGGGGGACAAACTGGTGAGCGCCCTCCTTTGCTCCCTCCAGATCACCACCTTCCCCACCCTAATCTGTGCCTTGGAGGCTGACCTGAAGGGGCGCCATCACCCCTGCTCCGGGCTTCCTATGGGGTTCCCTGAATGGAGGAGATGGGAGTGCTGGATGGGCATAACAGCCCCCTCCCTGCTGCGTCCTGTCCCCCAGGCCAGAGCCGTCCTTCCCGAGGTTCCCAGCTCCCGCCAGGGGGCCTCTCCATGCAGCCCCTCCCTGCAGACATCTGTTCCCCACCGATGCCGGCCCCACTCTGCACCTTTCCTTGGTTGGTTCCCTTACCCCTGCCCACACCTGTGAAGAGTCACTTCATTCCATTTTCCCCAAAGTATCAGGTTTGAGCCGTCTGTTTCCCGCCACACCCTGACTACTGCAGATCTGAAATCACTATGCTAAAATGTTAAGATTTGACAAAGTCAGGTCATGGGGAGCTGGGGCTCCTTATGACCATCTCCTGCGATGTTCCAGGTGGTTGCAAGATTTCCCAAAGGAAGAAAAGAGACAGCAGAGACAAAGCAGGTTCAGCAGTCAGGAGGCCAGGCCTCCTGGGTGACGGCCCTGAGGTCAGTGGAGGCCAATGGGTCCATCCCCCAGTCTGGCCACACTCACCCACTTCTCCCTCCTCCTGCGTCCCTTCCTACCTTTCCCCTTGACTCAGCACCTACCTCCCTACAGGAAATGGGAACCACATGCAGGGGATCACTGCAGAGGGGCCCCAAGCAGGACCACTGCACCCCCACAAGGAAGGTTCTGGCTCCTATTCACAGGTCCCAGCCAGAAATCAGCAACGCTTGGGCAATTTGGTTCCAGGGGACCTCACAATCAGTGGGGGCGGGGGGTGGGTGGGGGGACACCCTGGAGAATATGCACTCCCCACATCCCTTCTTCCCAACCTCATTTTCCCCATCGGATCAGCCTCCTGCCCAGCCCTTCTTGCAGACAATAGTTTGGGGGGTTTTTGTTGTTTTTCGGGTTTTTTTCTTTTAGATCGATGTACACAATTTCTCAATCTGTAACTTGTCACACATGCCGAAATGGAATCATTTTGTGTGCAGTGTTTTCATTTGGCATCCTTTTTTCTCTCTTCCTTTTCTGCAAAAGCCTTCTCTCTCCCCGTGTTGACAGTTGAGAATGGGTTTTTACATATTTTTCTGTAAGCATGAAAATCCTATACAGACCATGCCTGGACAAGGGATTTCTTTATCTGTCATTTCTTTTACAAATCAGGATCACATTGTTCACCCTTTCTAGCATCTCGCTTTTTCGCATTTGAGAAATCTCTACGCAAACAAGAATTCTACTCGATGGGTCACAACACCACTGTTCACAATGGCCACACGGTGAAAACAACCTAAATGCCCATCAACAGGTGAATGGATAAACATAATGTGGTCTGTCCACACAATAGAACGTTATTTGCCCATAAAAAGGAACGAATTACTGGCACACACTACTCACTACTCGAAAAAATCATGATGCTAATTGAAAGAAGCCAGACGCAATAGGTCATCTGTTATAGGATTCCATTTATATGAAATACCCAAAATAGATAAACCCAATAGACACAGGAAGCAAATTAGCGATCGCCAGGCGCTGGGGGCGGGCAGGGTGAGGAGTGACGTGTCTGATGGGTACAGGGTCTATTTAGGGGGTGATGAAATGTGTTGGAACTAAATAGAGGTCATGGTTGCACAACGTTGCAAATGGACTAAATGCCGCCGAATTGCAGGCTTTAAAATGGTTAATTATGTAACGATTAATTAAAATGGCTACTTTGTTATGTGAATTCCACTTCGATTTTTAAAACTAAAAAAATATATATCAACGTATATATCCCTCCTCCTTTTTAAAACAAAGGTGGACTGCTACGCACATTGTATTCCACTTGGAACTTATTTCGGTTAAAAATAAGTCCTAGAGAAAAAAATACCTATGCGCTAGAGAACAAACAAACAAACAAGAGTAGCCACACAAGTCACCTGGAAACACTGGGAACCATTCTTTTTAATAGCCGCATAATAGTTCATGGTGTGGACAGACCAGAATGGTGTCACCCGTTTCCCCGAAATGATGAATGATGAGTTTTGATTTTGGCTGGTTTGGGGGAGGGGGTGGTCTCTTGACACATGTAGGCACCAGGCACTTTATAAACAGGGTTTTATTTTGCCCTTACTCCAGTCCCACATTTTCTCCCATTTTTCAGGTGGGAAAACTGAGGTCCAGAAAGGAAAAGGCCAGGAAGTGACTGAGCCAGAACTCAAGCCAGGCAGGTCTGATCCCTGGGCTCACTCCTTGCTGGGGATACAGCAGGGAACAGCACTGACCCAGGCACCTGCCCTGGAGGAGCTGACATTTTAGTGGGGGAGACAGACAGGAAACAAGATGAATCAGTAACCTATGTGGACTATTCCCGGGGGGCCAAGATTACAGGGAGAAATAAAGGAGGGAAAGGGGAGAAGGGACGGCAGGGAGATTACATTTTTAAATAGGGCCTCACCGGGAAAGGGATGTTTGGGCAAAGACCCAAAGGAGGTGAGGGAGGGAGTCCTGTGGCTTTTCATCCATTCGGGGGAACAGTGTTTAGAGCAGAGGGAACAGCGAGGGCAAAGGGCCACAGGCAGGGAGCTGCAAGGAGCCAGGTGCTGCTGGGGCTAAGGGAGAGAGGTAAGATCAGAACAGAGGGCTTGTAGCCCCGCTATCTCTGAGTAACAGGGAGCCAGGGAAGGGTTTGGAGCAAGGCAGACTGGGGATTAGGTTGGGATTTGAAAAGCCCACTCTGGCTCTCCAGGAAGGGTGGGGGAGGGAGGCCCCTGTCACGGAGGTGGGAGAAGCTGGCTGAGAGTAGACGGCTGGTCTGCAGGATGGGGAGAGGCCCCGCCCACCTCCCCTCCATCTACGCACCCCTTGAATTTAGTCCCCCTCGGAGTAACCCAACTCTCAGCCTCCACAGAGAAAGTGCCAAGAGGGGAAGGAGAACTTTGCTGATTCACGGGCCTGGGCCTCCCAACTTCCCCCCAGGGGAAGCCTGAGCTCACATAATGGGGTAGGGAGCCCTATGGAGGCTGAGAGCAAGTAAATAAAGTAATACAACAGTGATAAATGATAAAACGTGGTTAACAGAGTGACCTGACTCGCGGGGTGTCATCAGGGAGGGCTTCCTGAAGGAGGTGGTGTTGGAGCCAGAATCAGAATCAGAGCTAGGAATTTAACCAGGCCAAGGAGAGAAGGAAGAACATCTCAAGCAGAAGGAAAAGCACGTGCCAAACCCCTGAGACTAAAGGCAGAGCCTAGTGAGTTCAAGTCTCCGAAAGGAGGCCTGGCCAGGCGGAAGGAGCCCTGTGTGCCAAGCCCAGGGCAGACAGTGGCCTGAGCCAGGAACACGCCCATTCCAGGCCCACCCATGGTCAGCTCCTGGCAAGAACTGCTTCTGTTGCCAGGGCGGTTGCAGTGGTGAAGGTCCCCCACCCGTAAACTTCTCGGAGAGCTTCACCATAAGCCAGTAAGACGATAAGCATATTTGGAAGAGAAATAAAGGAAGTCGCAGAAATTGTTAATTCTCTTTGTAAAGACGAGGAAATCAGGTCACAGAGAGCAGAGAGCTTATCGACTTCAAGGAGTCGGGCCGCGAGAAGGTTGCGAGAGCTCCTACCCTCCTCGGCTCACTCCCTGCTCCTCGCGGGACCGCTTTGTCACATTTGGAGGGGCCCTCGTGGGGCACATGGCAGCTCGAGTGGCAGAGACGTGTCCAGCAGCAGGAGCTGGCCCAGGGCCCGCGGGGCAGGCCAGGGCAGGGGATGACAGAGGGACATAAAGAAAGACAAACGGCGGGAGCTGGTGGGGCCACAGCCCCTGAGTCTTGAACTGCCCTTGGCTAGAATTTCAAGAACTGTGCCAAGACTCCAAGGCCTGACTCTAAAACACTAGTGCTCACTCATTCACCAAGCACGCATTGAGCACCTGCTGCATACCGCATGCCCGACACTGTTCCCAGGCCCTGGGGCAAGGTCCCCAGACCCAGCGGGCCCTCCTGAGGCTGACACCCTGTGGGGACAGGGGTGGCTGCCCAGTGAGCAGACCCAGGGATGTGTTTCTTCACACGGTGATAAAGGGCTCGGCTGGTGGAGACAGGGAGCTATAAGCAGGTGTGGCTGGAGGCCCTACTCCCCCGGGGGGGTGGGGGGGGCAGGCAGGTTGCTGGGGGCCAGGCTGACCCCATGATGGCAGGGGAGAAACTGCCTGCATAGGGGGAGGCACAGCAATCACAGAGCAGGAGCCCCTCATCGGGCAGCGAGGAGGCCAGTGCGCTGGGGACAAGGCAAGGGGCAGGTGAGCTCAGAGAGGTGATGGGGTCGGTCATGCTGGGCCTCCAGGGCCTGGTAGGGCGTCTGGTCTGAGTAGGGGGGCACGGTCTGACTTCGTCCTAAGGGCTCCTCTGGCTGTGTGTGGCGAACCAACAGAGGGGCCTTGGGAGGAAGCAGGGAGCCCAGGGAGGAGGTGAGCCAGCGGGGAGGGCAGGAGACAGTGAGGCTGGCCCAGGGGCGGTGGGGGATGGGAAGGAGCCCAGAAGCTCTGCTCTGGAGACAGTGAGGGGCCTTCAGGTAGGACCAGAGCCCCTCTGAAGACCTTCATTTTCTCAAGCACATCCTCCTTCTGACACGATGATCTGTGCCCCAGCCCCTGGCCCCGCATGGCACGGGCTCCAGAGACCTCACACGTTCTCAGTGGTTCTGAAACAAGACTTCCCAAATCTGGGTGCTTCCTTCCGCTGAAGAGTTTGCAGGTAGGAAAAAAAGAGGAGGAGGGGAGGGCAGGGGAGGGGAAAGAAGCAGGGGGGAGGAGGTGCCTTCCCCAGCCACAGACCCTTGTGCCCACCCCACACTCACCTTCCCCAAACCACAGAACGATGGGGCAGAAGAAAGAAGGGGGTAGCTAACACCAGGGTGGTGCCGCTGCGATATGAAGTGTATCAACTCGTACCCAAGGGCTTCCCAGATATTATTTCTATTTTTATAAATTGTCATTGTGCGTTTGGATTACAAACTTAAGAGACCCATTGTAAAAAAGAGATTGAGAGAGACAGGAGGGGAGATGGATGTAGAAAAGGGAAGGAGAGGAACTCAGCCCCCATCAGTCACACTGGCCTTTCCTTAAGCCTCAAACCCGCCGCACCACGCCTGCCTCAGGGCCTTTGCACTTGCTGTTCCCTCTGCCGGGAATGCTCGTACCTCCGACAGCCAGCCACATGGTTCCCTCCCTCTCGCCCTCTGCTCACAGAGACCCCTTCTCTGACCAAGCAGCAGCCCCTCTATCACGCCCATGATTCTTCTTCACAGAACTTCGTGCTACGCGACACTATGTTGGTCTATTGTCTAACAGGCACCACTAGATTGTCAGCCCCGTGATGGCAGGGATTTTTGTCCGTTTTGTTCACTGCTGGATCCTCAGTGTTCCGAACAACTCCTGGCACACAGCGGGTATTCGGTAGTGAACGGACAAGTGCAAGCATGGATAAAATGCCTCCTCAGCTAGACCAGGAAGGCAGCAGCCGAGGTCTTACATGCGTCTGGCACACAGCAGGCATCTGTGGCACGAGCGGATGGATAGTGACGTCACCAGGAACTGAGAGATACCAAAGCAAAGCAAACAAGAAAGAGAAGAAACTATTTATCCAGGTTCCCTGAGTGCCTGTCCCGTCCTACGCCCACCCCCGACGTTAGCTCACATCATCCTCATGACAACACCGTGAGCTACGTCTTAAGCCCATTTTCCAAACGAGGAAACTGAGGCTGAGTGAAGAGAAGTGTTTTTTCCCCGGGCCCCATAGCCAGGGAGGGGCAGGGCATTGAAAATCAGTCCTGTCCGCCTCCAAAGGCAGGCCCCCAACCTGAGTGCACCGGCCCGTTCACGCTGTCCACAGTGGCAGAGCCCCTACTATGCGCAGGGCAGAGCCAGCCGGTGGGAATGTGAGCTCAGGGCGGCCAGGCTTTCAACGCTTGTAAGCTGGGCCGAGTGTCCACATTTTTGCAGGAAACCGCTTGCTTTTCAATGCTAGAACCAAATCAAAATGCTAGAAAACACTGTGCACGTTAAAGGAAGAATTTCCGAGGGCTCCTACTTCGAGACCCTTGGTCTACGCCTGGGATTTCAGAGAACATGGACGTCATTGAGGGTGGGGCAGGCAAAGAAGGCTTCCTGGAGGAGGTGGAACCAGGCTGCTAATGGGCCTGAGGAGGGTGGGGCCAGCCTGAAAAGAGGGGGCCTTGGGCTGCCTCTGGCCATGCTGGGGGTCAAGTAGGCTCCGTCCAGGATTCCCGGAAGAGGCCCAGCAGGTCAGACCAGCCTGACGCGAATACCTGGGAGTCACCTGGGAGTCAGCTCCGAGGCTGCCTGCCCCCTCCCTGCACCCATGCTTCCTTTCCATCCTCCTCTGGGATCTGAGCTGCCTAGGATGTGTTTCCCAGAAGACTCTGTCCCTGAGAATTTCCCATGGGGCCAGCTGGAGGGAGGTCCTGAGGATGGCCCAGCACGGTGGCCAGGCAAACTGGGAATACCTGAGTTCTTTCATCTGTCGTCATTAGAGACAATAGACGCTGAAGCAGAAAGCGTCTGAGAGCCAAAACATAAATGTATGTTATGGGTTACATATGGGAAATCGTGACATTTAAGTGAGATGTCCTGAAATGTAAGACTGTATCAACCAGTCAGCTGCAAGGTAACATTTGGGTTTCTTTCTTTTCTTCTTTCTCTCTTTCTTTCTTTCTTTCTTTCTTTCTTTCTTTCTTTCTTTCTTTCTTTCTTTCTTTCTTGTTTCCCATCGCATATAAGTTCTATTAATGCAAGATGTGGGTGTATTTCAATGATTGATGATAGGTTCTATGATTGATATGATAGGTTGAGATGACTGAGGCTGACGTTGAAACCTACTTCACCAGTTACCGGCTGGGAGACTTCGGGAAAGATACTTGCCTTCCCTGTGTCCTCACTTCCTCATTGGTAAAACGGGGTTAAGGGGAGTCACCAGAACCCGGGACCATCATGCAGTGCAAAAATGATGCACATCAAACACTTAGAAAGAACTTCACCCTTGTGAACATTCAGTAAGCGCCAGCTATGATTATGGTCATCGATAGGGTAACACTCCGCTATTTCAAACCACGTGATAAAATATCATGGATTCTGGAGACATTGGCATAAACTCAGATTTGCCTAATACAGATATAGATGGTCACATATAAAAATATTTGCAGATGCGTGCGTATACATGGGTTGAATACACAACACATGTTTCTTTGCTCCGTCAGCCAGGAAGGCCTACAAGAAATGCTACCCCGCCAGCCACGGGTACACCCGGTATCCAGAGCTTGGGTTCTAATGCCATTCTCTGATAGGAGGAACCACGGCTCCACACCGAGAAACGGCTGCTGCTAAGACTGGGGCAGGAAATGTTCGCGATGAGCCTGAAGCAGCTTGTGGTGCCAGAGGTAAGAAAGGGCTCAAGATGAAAACCAACCAACAAACAAAAAACCCCCGATGTTGATGGGGGCACGCCAAAGGGCAAAGAAGCCACCTTCAAGAGCTCCCTGTGGTCCAGGTTGGGACAACCTGAGCAACGAAATGCAGTAGTGTTGAATTATAACCCAAAGTATAAATAAAATCAATATCCTTGAGTCTGTACCGATACGAGCGAAGCTGAATACGTACGTAGGGGAGAAGACAAACGTGCTGTACGGAAGGACTCTCAATCATCCCTGCTGCGAAGTATAGTCCCTACTCCATGGGTGGGGGCCACGCAGAATGACTGCCTTCCAAAGAGGATACTATGGAAAGGGGAAAAGAGAGTGACTTCACAGTGGAGAAAACTGACAAAAACTACCTGAGCCAGGTGGTCAAGGTCAACACCCACAGTGATAAGTCATGTTCATAGGATCTACCCTTGATGTGATATGATAAAAATGTCACTCTCCGGGGCGCCTGGGTGGCTCAGTTAGTTACACATGCACCTTCGGCTCAGGTCACGATCTCACGGTTCGTGGGTTCGAGCCCCACATAGGGCTCTGTGCTGACAGCTTGGAGCCTGGAGCCTGCTTCGGATTCTGTGTCTCCCTCTCTCTCTGCCCCTCCCCCGCTCGTTCTCCCTCTCTCTCTCTCTCTCTCTCTCTCTCTCTCTCTGTCAAAAATAAATAAAAAACATTAAAACAAATTTATAATGTCACTTTCCTTCTGAGAAGTTCCTTCCCCTGACCATAAGAAAGACATCAAATTATCCCAAGAGAGGATACCTATTATCCCAATAGAGCCTACCAAAAACCCGACCAGCACTCCACAGAACTGTCAAGGTCACCAAAAACTAGGAAAGTCTGAGAAACTGTCACAGCCAAGAGGAGAAAAAAGACCTGACAACTAAATGTGATATGGAATCTTGAGTGGGAATCTGTACCAGAAAGAGGATCTTAGCGAAAACTGAGGAAATCCAAATAAACTATGGACTTGGTTCACAGCAATGCACCAACACAGCGGGTGGATGGTTAACAAGCAGGCCTGTGAACTAACTAACATTAAGGCGTGACTTGTCGGAGAGACTGGGTACAGGGCGCTACCTTTTTCATTTTTCTGCAAATCTAACACCGTTCTAAAACATAAAGTCTACCCTTAAAAACTCGTTTCTTTTTCCAGTTTGCTTTTTTTTCCATTCTCTTAGAGTCCATGGAACGACCCTTTCTGAACCTCGCTGGTTAATGCCCCTTCGGCCTCAGAGTCGACACTGGCCTGCCGTCTGTTCTGCAAGTTCCCCGCCTCAGGTTTCCGCATCTCGGCCTGCTCATCTCTGGGTCGATGGCACGTGGCGCTTTGTGCAAATCTTTCTGTGTGGAAGTCGCGTCTTGAGCCAGAGGACCCAGTCCTTTGGTTATTCTGCCAAGTAGATGCCTGCTGTTTACATCAGCAATCAGCAATGCCATTGGCGGGTGTGCGGTGTGGGTTCGAACCCTCAGGGTTTATCGGGGTCATTACTAGTTCCAGGTGAACTTCTTCCCTCCCTTCGGTTTTATGATCTCGAGAGACACCCCTGTGCCCACTTCTAGGCAGGGGTCCATCTGAGAGAGGCGGGTAAGGCTCCGCCAGACAGCCTCCATCCACAGCAGAGAGTTATCTGGGTCAAAATGCCAACAGGGCCGTGAAGAAATTCTTCAGTAGAGCAAGGGTGGGCCCCAAATCTCGGGACCCGTGCCCCAGACCTCCTCCCTGGCCCTGAGGGCAGCTGACTCTGTCTGGGAGGAAAGAACAAAGGGGAAGCACGTGGCAAGACACCCATTTCTCAGAAGGTCTGGGTTGGAGGTCGGGGGCCTGGGTTCAAGTCCTGAATCTGCCTCTGACTCATAGTGTCACCTTTCACCACTCACTTCCCCACGTCTGGACCTCAGGTTCCTCATCTGGGAGTCAGGAGGTTGGACCAGCTGAGCTCAAGCCTTCCCCAGTTGACACGGTGCTGATGAAACCAGGGCTGGTGATATTATGCCCCCCCCTCCCCGCGCCCCCTGCCCCCCTCACTCTCCCCGACACTGTGGCCACATTCACCAAGGGCCAAACTCACATTCACATCCAACACACTGCGTCTGCATCTAACAAGTTGCAATGACCTGTTCCCTTTGTATTTCTTTGTAAAAGAAAGGCCGCAAGGGAGGGGCGTGCAGGTGCTTTTCTTTAAGGTGCCTGATGCAAAGTGCCGGAGCTCTGGGCTGGAAGTGAATCACCATGAGTTTGCACTTTGTATATTGTAGTCCTTCACAGCTTCGGTCTTTGTTTATAATAATCAACCGTTGGAATGAAATTCAAATTCCTCATGCCTGCCTCCCTCTCTTTCCAACCCTCTCCCTCTCCCTCACTCTGTGCTCCCCACACTGGCGGCACTATGGTTCTGTGAACCCACCTAACTTGTTCCCACCACAGGGCCTTTGCATCTGCTATTCCCTGCACCTTCAACACCCTTCCTTCAGGCCGCAACTTCTTCTCAGCAAGGCCCTCTCCAATCACCCTACTTAAAGAAGCCCCTGGTCACTTCCCATCACACCTCCCTGCTTTATTTTCTTCTAAGCCTTTACCACGATCTGAAATGATGCCGTTTGCTTACTTATTCACTTGACCGCTGTCTGCCTATCCAAAGGCAGGGATTTTGTCTGCTTTGTTCTGCCATGTCACCCTAACACTCTACCCAGGGCCTGACACATAATGGTCTCAGGAAATACGGTGACATGAATGAGTGAATAAAGACTCAGAAATCCCCAGCAATGCCCCTAAGCTACATACAACAGCTGGTGTTTATTGAGCATCTACTCTGTGCCAGTCACTGTGCTAATGTCTCATCTCAGGGGTGAGCAGTTTTATGGTCTCCATTTTGCAGATAAGACCAAGTTTTCAGGCCTCAGGGCCTCAAAGGATAGAGCAGCTCTGAACCCCATCTTAGAACTTCAGTGTTTGGGCTCCTTCCACCCTGCCAGGTTCCTCAGTGACAGAGACGTGGAGAGAGGGCCCTGCCCGCATGTACATGCACCCCTCATCTAAGGTAGAGCCTTCTGAACACCAACCTGTCCCCACCGCCTGGTGGAGCCCCTGGGGCCAGGATGGGAGCTGGGTGTGCCGGCAGCCGGACCTTGTGCCGATCAGTGCCAGGAACTGGCTTGGGGAGCAGGGTCTTGACCAGCCCCATGTGGGGGTGATGTGGGCCACTTGTCCCAAGTGGGCTCTTAATGTTCACTGGGGCATAGAGGGTGGCAGTGGGCACAGGGTCCCTAGACGCCCAGGGGCTCAGATCCCCACCAGCCTTCCCCTGGCGGTAAAGCCGATCCCCAAGGCCCTGGCCTCGCTGGCCCTTGCTCAGTTTCATGCTCCCAGCCTGGCAAAGGTCAAATCATTCTGCAGCCCTCTCCGAGCAGCCCAGACCCAGAGCGAGGGGATGCCAGGCACAGAGCTAACTCTGGCTCCCGGCACCTGCCTTCCAGCAGCCCCCAGCCAGGGTAGGCAGGGAGGTGGCAAGTAAATAATAACCCAAAGGCAGGCTGTAAGCCTTGAGTGCAGACCCCTCCTTAAATACTTGCTGGCTGTGTGTCCTTGGGCAAGTCTCTTAACTTCTCTGGACCTTCACTTCCTTCCTAGGAGAAAATCCTGCCTCCTAGGGTCTCGCCTGCCAGGAGAGACCCCAGAATAGTGGCTGGCATTGCTGCTATGGAGGTCCCCCACACTCAGGGCCTGCCCCCAGGAACAGAGAGGAGAAAGAGGACACAGGAGGACACGTCCCCCCCTGGCTGGGGAAGCCCCCCAGTCCACCTCCCACCACAGAGGAGGTGCCCGCCCAGCAGGGCCTGGATCAGTGAGTGGGAGTTTGGCGCAGACATGCGGAGGGAAGTGTGATCCCGGCAGAAGGCACAGCCAGGGCAAAGGGAGGGCGTTCTGCCCAGTGAGCCACCTTCTCTCCCTGAGGCCTCTGCTCAAAACCACCTCCTGAGATGGGCCCTCCTGCTCACTGGATCTGAGGGTGCCCGCACCCCTGCCGCGCATCAAAGCAGCAGGCTCACTGCCCTCCTTAAACTTACGATAATCTTACTCGTTTGTTTATTCTATGTCTCCCCTGCCAAGTCCCCCAAGGGCAGGGACAGTGTCTGTCCTGGGCACTGCTCTATCCCGGAGTCTAGCACTTCCTGGCAGGCAGCAAGCACCTGAGCATGATTTGAATACGTTACTCCCCCTCCCTGTGCCTCAGTTTCCTCATCTGTGAACCGAGCATCATGATAACCCTCACCTTGTAGGGCTGTTGTAAGAATTAAATAAATTAACATTTGCAGAACCTTTAGGATAGGCCCTGAACACCACGTAGATAAAAAAACACGATGGATGAATCGAGAGAATTACAGGGGCGTGGATTACAAAGTCGCACCGCCGAGTTGTATCATCTGTTATCCTACACTCCACGTTTGCATTTCTTTCCCTATTTCACTTTCTCCCAGGTTTTCATTTTGACAAACTTCAACCGTAGAAAGTCGGAAGAGATTTCCAGCACCACGAACGTCTCAATTCACCAGTTGATGACTTTTAGTTTCGTGGGCTTTCCTCCTCGCTACATAGAACAAGATGAATATTTATACTTCTGTTTCCTTTTCTTATTTCTTCTTTCCGACCAATGTGGGAGCAAGCTGGAGACACCGAGATAATTTATTCCTAAGTTCTTCAGCTGCTGTGACTTTTCTTTTAAATCTCTCCCTCAATGGATGTATGAATTCTCTGGAACCAATTGTAACTGATCTCCTGATTTTATAAATCTGTAATTCTACAAACCTGCTAATCCATGCATCTGTGAACCTGGAAATATTGGTTCTAGAAACCATCACCTGCTGGTTCCTGGAGTCCACACATGTCTGAGGTCCTATGTCTCACTCGTCTGGGATTCCCGGCACCCTGCCCCTGAGGTTCAGTAAATCCGCAAGGCCACGAGCCCGCTGCTCTCAGTCGGCTCCCACTGTTTGGCACCTCTGAGCCCTGATTCCCACTTCCCAGAAGCCAAGGCCTGAGACGGAGCAAGGGGAAAACCCAGCCGCCCCCAATCCCGACACAAAACCAAGTTCCAAGGATGCCAAGAGGCACAGGGACCCAGTCACAGGCCCAGGGGTGAGCCCCCCGCCTGGTCGCACCCAGTGGACCCACTGGGCCTCCTGGGTGCCCAGGCTCTCCTCAGGCCAGCTGGGCGAGGGGCAGACGGGAGGCCCCACCCCCGCCCCGCTCATGGAGCAATCCGCTGAGTCACCCCCACCTCATGACTCGCCTCCCGCCACCGCTGAGGCCTGTAATTACGGCCTCTGCCTCCTCCAAGCTGGGCCTTATCAATCCATCAGGGCAGGCCAAGGAGGGGGACGCCCGGAGGTCCCCCCCCCAGACGCGGCGGTCCTGGAGCTCAGTAGCACGCGATCTGGGCATGCCTCTGCCGTCGGTGGTAGCTAGCCGCAAGCCCAGAGGTTGGCTTTGGCT